GTAGCGGTAATTTAGACGGGCGGGCGAAGGGCTTCTGGCTGCCGAAGGGAAAGGGTTAGCAGTTTGATACTAGTCTGGCATCCAGGGTACTGCTCTATGGGATGACTTGACAGATGAACGGGTGTTTCCAGTGACATGCCCCATCAACCCAGCGATCGTCTCTGTACATAGCACAGTCCTGGTCCCCCCACTGGTCCGGCTGGCCCTCCCGCCAGGCACTGTAGTTACCGGTCCCGAGGTCAGTACCATCCACCCACTCCCACTTACCTTCCTGTAATGATGATAATGAATGGTTCATTAAAATGTAAATCACTCACAGCCCGAGGGCTGAATTGCGGATTCAATACTCATTACTCAAAACTTGTACTAAAATAAACATAAACATATTGTTATCATCATATTGCAATAAAAGGTGGTAATAAACACTGAAATATTCGTAAAATCTGGAGTTGACTAACATTATACGAAATTATAGCAGCTGCTTTAAGATTTAAAATCTTATACAATCATGTACTATCACTGGAAAACATCAAGAAAACCAAGTTGGGGCAGCTGTTACTTAGGCTATTAGATCAAGCATTCAAAAGCCTCACTATATAGGGTATGGGAGAGTTATCAAGTCTTTCTGTCCTGCATTTGACCGTTCTGTCTTTGTCTCTGTTTCTAGTGACTCCACCATGATAGTGCTGCCATGATAGAAGAGTACTTGCCTGTACCAGATCATGTAAGCCAAACCAGTAGTTTTTATAGCAGTCTGCCGCCTTGATGAGGGAGAAAAGGAAAGCGTTGATGTCGGCGTCACGAGGCATAGCGAGGGTTCCTCCACCGACAGACAGACAGGTCGCAGATGCTTGCATAAAGGGTTTTTCCATGTCAAAAACTTTGTAGCAGACTTTGCGGTACTTCTTGAAACCGGCAGGGCAGGGGGCTGAAAAACAATATAAAGGTATATGTGTAATTATAGTCACATTGAATATGGTATCATTTTAATTACACTAACAGTTCCCACAAACCCATCATTAGAAAGTTCCCTCTAAGTACAATATTTCTGACAAGATGATGATAATATTTCCGTGCCCCTCATTTTGACTGTTTTGTCCTTTCTTTTGACAGTAGGGCATGTTTTACCACATTCAAATAATCAGACTTATTACAATGTAGGAATGGTGGGGACACTTTTGAATGATTTAAAAACAATACATGACTCTACAAAATGGCCTCCAGACAAAATACACAGGAGAGCGACGGAAATGAGTCTGCTCCCAAGGTCGTTATATTCTTACATACCTGTGCGTGAGTCAGTTGGAACAGGTGTTTCCTCTGCAATGCCTCCTTGCTCTGATTTCCCCCAAATCTGAAAATCAAACACTTTTATTTTCATGTTTCTTTTTATTTATTACAACATCTAATGACAAAACAGGATGGCGACATGCTCAAGCAATATTTTCATCATGGTTCTAACAATTCATGTTTGACTTAAAAATAAAAATACATGTGTACATGTATTTAACATGATATGTAATGACATGATATGCGTATGTGGCGCTGTCTGTGAATTTTGAGCTAAACCACCAAATTTTCACCTTCTCTTACTCCTAAGTACCACCACTGCTATGTTACGTATTCACAGTTACCTGTTGTATCCATGCAGAGATGTTTGACAGATAGGCAGTCGACATCACAGTCTTTTTGTCCAGTTGGATGACAGACAACTTTAGGTCTGACAGATTTAAGGCTGTCTCCTGGTCTAGCCGGTCAACTGACACCCTTAGGTCTGACACTGCCACCACTGTAAGTTAAACAACAATGCCATGTTATGGAAGAAATGTAGAACCTTGATTGTAGAGTTCTAGTTTTGTCATTAAAGGAGTACTAACCTCCAGAATGGGGTGCTATATTTCGACAGGCATTTATTTTTGGAAGTGAAAAATTCATATTATTCTACAATATACAATTAAATGCCCATTTTGCGAGCAAGTCTTAAAACGCATCGAATCCAGGACAAACTCTCCAAATACCCTCAAAACTATCCCAGAATACACCACGCTACCCCATTGGTGTCTATGTTTTAAACAAAAAGTTACGTTACAGACCTCATTTTGGGGGCGATAAGAAAAATTTGTACCGTTTTGTGTTCTTTGGTATCTTACCAACCATTGCCCTTCTTGGTGTCCTTATCGCCCCTCATTTATGCCGCAAATATTGATGATGAAAAAACGGCGTAATCTAGTTATCTTTTTCATAAGTGGCGTAATCTAATTATCTGTTCAAGTTATACTTACATGCAAATAAGTTGAGAAAATCAAAACACACAGGATGAAACTGGCGCCCACTGTATTCGACATCATGATATTATAATATCGAAGCCACAGGTCAAGCAAAGTAAAGCAAGTAATTTCTCAATAATCAGCTTGTTAGTGTGCTTGTCTCCTACCATTTTCGCCAAAAAAATGTTTATGTTGACCTGAAGTGTATGAGTATTGCGTAAGCCAGAGTTCCCGGATGTATCAATTGTGGTTCAGCATGGGGGAAAATGATATTAATATCACTTTACAAACATGCGCCGCGAAACTCGTACAAGCTAAATTATGTAAAAAGTCAGCTAGTTATGTGTTCATTGCAGCATGATGTATCGGAAAATAGCACTTCCTTCTGGAGGTTAGTACTCCTTTAAACTGCATTTCTATTAACACCCCCCAATTCATACGTCTTGCAAAATGCCAAGCATTTCTGACTCCAATGCACACAAAAAAGAAATAAAACCCAACAGTAACATATCAAAATTTGCATTGGTAGCATTAATAATCATGATGATCATTTTTACTGCTTATTATTTTATCATTTTCTTCGAATTAGCGCTCGGGCATGGATTTGCAATGAACTTTGTATTAAAGATTTTTATTTTAGTAGGATAAATAAAGTCAAGTTTTAAGTTTATTTATCCAGTATATCTCAGATTTGTTTTTGATAAGTCAAGGATACAACATCACTCACCTAGGAAGATAACAGTGCCCAGCAGACTGATGTTTAGAAGGATGGTCATCACAGGGAGGGTCTTCACTATGGAACAGGTCCTTGTCTGGGACTGGCCTGGGCTGTTCCCAGTTTTACCGGTTCCTGTAGCACCGTTATGGGACATCCCTGCTGCTGACAGCCTGGCTGAGGAGACCTTACAGGCCTCCTGGTAATCTTCATCATCATTACACGTTTCATAGACATTACAGGATGCCTGGTAGTCTCCATCACCGTTACAGGGCTTGTAGATGTTACAGGATGCCTGATTGACGTTCTTGTCCATTGTATGCCTTCTCCCCACCAACTTGTGTACCCAAAATGTAATGCACTTAAGCGCCTCAACATTTACATGTATGTCTGACTACATGTAGTTCTATGAATCTTCAAAATAATTGTCTGGTTGCCACATAGTTACATGAATTACACATAAGAGAAAGACCTTCTTGTCCATGCATTTGCTCTTCAAGGACTCGATATTTATTTCCTATTCTACATGATTGTATAATTGTCTGGTGTACCCAAAATGTATTTCATTGTCGCTTCAAAAACTCCAGATTTGTCTGACCAGTTCTAGGTATCTTCAAAATAATTGTCTGGTTGCCACATAGTTACATGAATTACACATAAAAGAAAGACATTCTTGTCCATTGTACGCCTTCTCCCACAAGCTTATGTAGCCAACATGTAATGCATGGTGCTTGAGGGACTCGAGATTTGTCTGACCAGTTCTATGTATCTTCACAATAATTGTCTGGTTGCCACAGTTACATGAATTACACATAATGCATTTAGTTCTTCAAGGACTCAACTTTTATTTCCGTCCAGTTTTGCATGTATCTTCAACATAATTGTCTGGTTGCCAGAGTTACTAGCCTGGTTACCAGACCTATTGTAGCTCCCGAGCAAATCTATTTGCAGAGAGGATGTAGGACTCGGGAGCTATAATAGGTCTCACTGGTAACAAGGCTACATAGTTAGTACATGAATTACACATATTATTAAGGGTTTCTACTGACCACTCCTAATATAAGGCACCAGGAAGCAACACCAGATTTTATTCCTTCCCTGCATTTCTCAGTTAACAAGACATGAAGAATAAAAATGAGGAAACTTTGCAAGACAAAGAAGGAAGACTTTATTTATCCTTTTCTCAAAGATGGTTTAAAAGAAATCACACTCACTCAACCCAATACAGCTGTAGTTTTATTTCAGACTTTGTTTCTTACAACATTTGTGATGGCAATCTTGGTTTACATTTTCCTCATTCATGGTTACCCTCAGGCCGGCATTTTCATCACTTTTCTACCTTGCACATTATTTCTGCAAGTATAAAACTGCCTAGGCAGAGGGAAGAAGAGCATTTCATAGAAAAATACTGCTATATGTTAAAAAAATCTATTTTGCAATGCCTTTTCTGTATAAAAATGCTAGTTTGACACGTCTTTGTCTCTATAAAACGATTGAGAATGGTCCCTAGGTTGCCTGCACTGAACATAAAATATGCAATACTTAAGTACTAGTATGCTATTTACAATACAATACTGCTAACACAAAATCCTCTATGTCAGATTGTATTGAAGAGCCCGTCAGCAGAACATACTGCACCTGCGCAAAACCTGTAATGTTAAATGCATTGTGCATAGCACTTAAGCAGAAAGTGTTATACAAGGTGGTATTCGTGTATATAAGGTTAACAACCGGTCTTTAGTTTCCAAATGTTATGTCAGAAAAAAAATCATCTGCAACAGGCAACATTCTGATGCAATGTTGACCAAAAATCCAAGGAAAACCATGAAAAATGGGGTTTTGCGCAGGCGCAGTACGTTCTGCCAACGTGCTGCTTTGGGAGCACTTACATCATGTACAAGTTTCAGTATTTTGCACAGAAAGTTAAACCAATAATACATGTGACAGTGAAGCCATGCAACATTAGATTAGCACCATTTAAATGTTTCTTAGTCTTACCCTTAAACAATGGTAGGCCTCTAGACATGTAATCTCTCTTACAAAACTTGTTTGATTCTTATAGAAATAACAAATAACACAAAACCTATGGAATTTTAGAAATAGTAATATACTGGCCATGGCGTTCTTCAGGTTACTGCATTGCTGTTCAATGTAATTTGCAATTATTGTTTTATTAAAAATATTTGTTATGAAATGTTTTCTGACTTTTTTTTACATTTTCCTGTGCGGTTAAATATCCAAATTCTACTTATCAATAAGAATTCTTGTAAAATATCAAATTGAATTGTAACATTAATATTACAACTGTTCAACAGCCCTTCGTCAATGACAAGTCAACTACATCTAGATGTCACTTTGTAAAAAAATTTTCAGATTTCTTTTTGATAGCTGTAACATAGAGATGGGTTAGGCAGCACCATGCTGAATGTATGACATTAAAATGACACAAAAATATATTTTGGCAAGCAGCAATATGTATAAGTGATATGAAGGGTTTGTATGCAATGAAATACTGTAAGGCACATTATATGCAGAATACTATTTTTTAGCAATCTACTAACAGGCACAAATGTGATGTTATAAATGTACTACAACAATTCAACACTCACAGTTAATTCTATTCTCAGCACAATCTCTAATACATGTACTAGCAACTAAAATAATTATTGTAGGGACTAGAGGCAGTTTGATCTCGAAGCTTCATTTGAAAGATAGAAAAATTGTTTTCCTAAAATATACCATTTAAAAGGATATTCATTGTATTTAGTGTTAAGTATAACCATCTACACTTTTGCCATACACAGGTTGTTAATATTTTAGGTTTTACATAGCAGCGGCATTCATGAGGAAAAAAGTACAAAAATACAAAAAAAGAAAGTACAAATGTTATAACAATCCGCTGTTCAAATTTTATCATTGTATACAATTAACATTATATACAACTCAGTTCTTAAAAGCTGTTGCAACATTGTTAATATGTATATATACTAGTATGATATGATAAGCATGTTAAAGATAATAAGCATGTCGGCAGAACGTACTGCACCTGCGCGAAACCCTTAATGTATTGTACATAGCATTTTGGCAGAACGTCTCATATAAGGTTGTATTTGCTCATATAAGGTTAGCATTTCGACAGCAGTTTCCAAATGTTGTGTCGGAAAGAATATCCTCTGCAACAGGAAAAATTCTGATGCAACGTTGACCAAAAACCCAACGAAAAACGCGAAAATACAGGGTTCTGCGCAGGCGCAGAACGTTCTGCCGACGTGCTGTTAAAGATAATATGATATGAATGACAAAAAATGTCAAATGGTTACAGAACTGAAATGAGAAGGCAGAGTAGTACACATTACTATAGCTCTGTTTTGACCGAGTCGTCGAGTATAATGGAAACTTCTGGTGACTCTTCCTCTGTCGCAGGCCTCTGTATACTGTCCTCTTCAAATGAAGGTTCTGCATCACTGTGAAGTAAAGACAGTTCAAGACAATATTGCAATGAGAAGGCTTACCTTTCTCATAAACTGATGCCTGTATTAGTGTTTACAAGGCATGGAGAGTTTTGCTGAAAGGAATGCATCTGAGGTTTTGTTTTTTAAAACTTTCAACAATTTGCCCCAAATTCTCCTTAAAACCATTTTTTATAGCTCTTTCATCATCTTTTGAACATGACCGAAAGGTTGAAACAAAAGTCATATACACTTAAAAGCAAAATGACTGAAAGATATCAACAATTTTAACAGATACATGTAGATTAGGCTCTTTCCATTTATCCCAGCATGACATGTTAATAGTGCTAAAAACGCAGCAACATTTCAAGTTGCACAGAGGGTTTGAAGCCAGCTTGAACATCATCAATCCTTTATAGAAGATGAGGAAGCCAAACATTTTCTGAGAATCTCAGAGATCATAGCTCTCCAAGATCTTGAGGTGCATTAGTAGGGGTCTGGAGGGGTTTTATAAGTTTAAATCTTCATTAGGCCCAGGAAAAAAAAATGTTGCGTATCCCATTTCCTGACCGACCCCAGAAAAAACTACTGACCCTAGCTTTTTTTTTTTTAAGAAAGAAGGAAAAAAAGATAATTACCTACCTACTAACCCTAATTTTTTTCAAGACTGAAACAGAAAACACAACATTTTTTTCCTAGGCCTTAGTAGGGGTCTGGAGGGGTTTTATAAAGGGTTAGATCTCGATTAGTCAGTTTTCCGCCATGCTGGGATGTAGGAGAAGGGATCTGTACTCACGGCAGACTTACGTGGGTTCTGCTGTTTCGGCCTGTGACCCCATGTCTGTCCCCTGCAGCGCGGGGTCCTTGTCCCCCTGTATGACAGTATCAGTGTTGGGTATTGTGCCACGAAGGGTGCCAGGTATTGTGCCGGGAAGTGCGGCTCTATCATGGGGCAGGTTCCCGAGGTCCCCCTGGGGTAGGAACACACCCCTCTAAGTTCCGCAAGCATGGTTATTAGACTTTAGATTCCTCGTGCATGGACACTAGGTGGAATATAACTGGTGAGTTAGTTAGTCGGTTAGTAGGTTAGCTCTGAAATGATGAAGCCTGTTCAAGCAGGGCTCTCCCCAAGGAAATCCTAGCACCTCTCCCAAAATGTTCAAATTTAGGGTTTTCTGTTAGCCCTTGTCCTGCTGGCATTTTTTTTACACAACATTTTCAAATAATTTAATTTGAGGTTGCAGACCCTTGACTTTCTTTGCCCTGCGCTGGCATAGTTACTTCCGCATTTGTTGTGTTTTGCTGCAGTGTGATAGTGATACGTTGCACGACAATACTACCAAATCGTACACATTCAGGGCACTATATAGATGGTACTGTATGTGCAACCCATATATATATGGGCCCTGCAGGACAAGGGTTAATATTTTAATGAAAATTCGCTGATTTCTCTTCAACCGATTAGGGAGAACCTGTCCCCTAAGAATTTCTGGGGAAACCCCTGCTATTAGTTCTGTAAGCAGTGCACTATGGAGCAACAGTCGCTGGCTGTAAGTTGTATTATTTGGGCAGTTTAAGAGGGCCTGTTCGGAGTTGTCCCCTGTACTTGTCTCCCGTGTACTTGTAAGTTGTTAGTGTAACAAATCGACAAGTCTGTAGTTCCTGTTATGCAGGCTTTTAACTAAGGGGGTGTCTGGGTGTCTTTTGGACTCCCTGTAAATTGGACTCCCTACTTTTTTGACACGTCACACTAAAGACACCCTATTTTTCCCACTCCCAACCCCTGCCTCACAGACATGCCTCCCTTTTTCAGCCTTACTATAAATACAAAAATGATGTTGAAACGAAGGAAAGAAACTTGGCTGCAGCCAGGCTGCCTGTATTCCTCAAAATTTGGACCTCAAAATGGAGGAAGTGGTGTTTGACAGCATTAAGAATTAAAAAAAAAGCCCCCATAAAAAGCTTGTGCCTGCACCGTATGCTGCACATAGCAAACAACAGAAAAATTGGACACCCAACAACAAAAAACCCTAGCTAAAAGCCTGCTGTTATGTCTGTTACGTCACACTAGCCAGTCAGGAAAACTACACAAAAATTCTCAGTTGTCAAAAATGCACGTCTTTTCAAAGTCATGCATTTTTGACAACTGAGAATTAAAAATGATCTAAAAATAAAAATGATCATTTAAAGATTATCTAAAGATAGCCAAGATTATAACTCTTCTACTAGCAATAGAAGCTTAAGTAGGCTAGAATAAAAAGACAAAAATGAAATCTTTTAACAATGTTTCATCCCTTACTTCCCCTTTCAATTTTAGAGACATTTATCATAACCAATCCTAGAGTCATCTCCAAGCAGATTTTTCGGTTGCAAAGACAGTTTCCAATACTGTCTGGCCAATTGTACACTGTCTTGGTTACCCAAAGATCTGCTTGGAGAATAAAGCTAGTGCTCATCTAAAATAACTCTTCAAGCCTAGTGATGATAGTAATTCCACACTGATTTATTTTTATGGATGACATCCTCTGATTCATTTAGTCTGAAGACCCCCAAACTAGAGTGCACGAGCGAATAAAAAGAATTCCGGCCAAAAAATGCTGCTAAGCCACAGGAATACAAACTTTAAGCTGGTATATAATTGTGAATTTGTGGTAGTACATAGCGACTTTTATAACAAGCCGGCACATGCTGGCCTTTTGCAGAATTCATGAATTGGCGCGTGATCCATAAAATTAAATCAGTGTGGCCTAACCAATGGTGAAAAAGTGATTTTTGTTTTAAAGTTTAGGCTGTACCTTGCGAACCAGCTTCTCGGCGTCTGGTGTTGGGTTGGGCATGTCTTCTGTGATGGGTTCTTTCTCCTCTTCCTTTGCTTCTTCACCATCAAGTGACATCTGTCAAAATAAAATCAACAGTTGTTGAGCTTCATATCCTGAACTACGTACTGAAACAATTGACACAAAACTAGCCACGAGTAATTCAAAATGGCCTCTAGCCGGCACCAGTTTTTCCGACAATTGCAGGAACTTTGTGTCGTGTGACGGAAACTTCTTAAAACCAATCTGTGAACCTTGATGAAAAAAATTGGCAAAAATCTTGGGTAAAAATAAAAAAAACATCAGAAAGACCACAAACAACTACTCTCAACCCCATGATTTGCCTCTCAAAATGCGGGAAATGGAGTTTTGTAAGGCTTGAAAATATAAAATTTTCCCCTGGACCCACCTAGGTTGCCAGCACTTTCTTCCCAGGTTAAATCATGAACTGGGCTGATGGAAAAAATTTCAAGCTGGCTAGAACCTTAATGTGGATGAAGCTTGTAGAATACCCTACCTCATCATCATATGTGAATGTGGTTTGAGCTAGGTCCAGTAGCTTCTGCTCCAGGGTTAACATCTCTAAGTACTCCACTGCTTCCTGTAAAGGCAGCACATGGAATAATGGTAAGAATTTCCGTATCACACAATAATATACCAAGGTCAATATACAATATACAAACATAGCAGTGTTCGAAATACCTGTCTGCAGTCTGCAATCTGCAGATAGATTTTCAAGATTGCAGAAGAAAAATTTATACAATCTGCAATTTTGCAGAAGGAAAAATAGACTCCAGATTCAATAGTTTCCAATTTAGCAAACTAGCACTCTCCGGTCCCATCAAGGACAGACAACACTTGAGCTTCTGTTCTGAAACAACAGGAGCTTCCTCACTAATTTGCATCATCCTTGTCTTGACTTGTCTATCTTTTGTTTCCTTTTTGACTTCCAAAAATTTGTCTTCACTAATTTGCATATCAATCAATAGTTTTTGCTTATAAACCTGCAGTTCTCCTTCAGTTTCTTAGTGTCACTGAGGAAAGGTAGTAGTCTGACCGTTTTAGGTAGCACCAAAATTATATACAGCTACTTGAGTAACTGTTTTTTTGTGTCTGTTATTAGTATGTTTTAGTATGTTTTTGCAGAAAGTATTTCCAAATTGCAGAACAAAATTTTGACTCTTCTGCAATATTGCAGAGCACTGAAAAAAAGTATTTCGACCACTGCATAGTGTCTATAGACATGTTAGCCTTTGGAAGTAAATCTTCACTTGATTTACATCTAAATTTTTTCAGTATGCAGGTTGCCTAATTTTTCTTCTGCAATATTGAAAATGTCTCTGCAAAATGCAGACTGCAGGTGGGTATTCTAGCACTTATTTTCATCAGGTTGGTAGAGTATAGGATATAGGGGTTTTCTTTTACACCAAACTATTCCTACCTTGCTTACGTTTATGAGGGGGTTACAAACGCAGCTCCGTTTGGGATTGCGTTTTTGCCGCAAAAGTGCCACCTACATTGGTTACATTTAGTGGCGAAAAAGCAGAAATCCAGTCAGAAGCTCTGAGGAAGGTGTATGATAGACAGCGAAATGTCAGCAAGGTAGGAAGTTAAGGAATAGTTTGGTTGTGTAACACTGTAATGTGCCTGACCTTCCTAGGCTGCATGTTTTCTGTGGTGATGTCTGCCTGTCTCTGGTAGAAGCGGATGTTCTGCAGCATGTCTCCGTGGTCAGGGATGAACAGGAGGAAGGACGAGGCAGCCTGGGAGGCATTCACTACCTCTCCAACTGTGGGGGAGGAGGGGGGAAGTTATTTTTTTTACCAGAAGGTTACACTCAGGTCATTTGACTTGTTTTTCAGGTACTTCTGGGACAATAAAAATACACAAAATCATACAAGAAATAACGCACAATAATAACAATACAGTACACGCACAATAATAATCATACAACCGTGCTCAGGAAATGTCAGTTCCAATTAAGAGTACAATGAGTTTTTGAAGGCAGTTAAAGTTTGTTCTTTGGTGAGCTGATTCCACCACACTGGACCCTAGTACTTCAGGCTCCCTTTGTACGCTTTAATCTCAGAAGCTTAGAAATCAGAATATTATTTGCTAAATTTTCTAAATGATTAAAATACTAGCTTTACAACTGTGCTATAACACATCTTCTGACACAACACAAATGTACAACAGTAAAAAACGTACGCTGATATAGACAGAACTGCAGGTAGTGGTAGTGCATGGGCAGGTAGTTCTTGTAGTTGGTTTTCTGGTTGGGTCCGGCAACCTTCTCTGGGCAATCTGACTTGCACTTCAGCACAGACGAGTAGTGATCTGTACAACACAATAAAAAAGAAGAAAGTAAGAAAGTGATCTCAATCCAGTTTTAGCTCACTGAAGAGATAGAGAGGGCAGACACTATGTACAGTATTTACAGGTTCATTATAACGGGGAAATTCCCCCAGCTCGTTTCAACAAGCACAATGAACAGTGGACTGCAACTTAACGTCCCGTCCTAGGGACTGCAACCCCCTCCAGTAGCGTGCATGTCACTTTTTTATTACTGAAGAACACTCACTTGTGGGGTCGTGTGGTGTAATGACAGAGTACTCAACTCGGAACCGAGAGGTCCCGGGTTTGAGTCCTGACATGCCACGAGTCTTGTGCCCTTGGGAAAGGAACTTGACACAACTTTCCTAACTTAACTCAAGTGAAAATGAGTATTGTCCTGTCCAGTATTCGTTTCTATGTATGGGACACAACACCAGCAACAGCTGCCTGTGTCCCACGTGTATATTGTATTGTTACGATTTCAATAAATCAAATGAACTCACTTGTGATGGACTGGAAGAACTCGGGGAAGTATTCGTGAATGTAGGGCCCCTCACACTGTACCCTACACTCCGTCTCTGCCTTGTAGTACAGTACTAAGGCCTTCTCCATCGTTTTCTTACACTCCTTGTACTCTTGGTCATTGTAGGCAGCCACTCCATTGTAGAACATTTGCTGTGCAACAGAGAAGCACATTTGAATTATGTTAGAAGCATTGTAAGAAACAGGAGGAGCAAGTAGAAACTGTTACAGATAAAAACCCCTGGTCCCGGGCCGAGGTTCGAACCCACGACCTCCCGAGCACCAGCTTCATAACTAAACGCTCAAACCACTTGGCCAGTTCAGTTGGTAGCGCCTATAAACCCGCCTCTGTTGCAGCATGTTTATGTGACAATGTTCACCCACAGAAAAAAACTGGGTGCACAGCTCCAAATTTGGGTGCACTAAGGTGCACATGCACCCAGTATTTTGAGCCCTGACGCAGTATTTCGACTTTACACTCCAACTTCGTCCAAGCCTAAAATATTGATATCAACTGCTCACCTCATGTTCTGATCGTTCCAAGTCCTGAAACATGTCCTTGGTCACTCCTTCAAACTCCTTGTAGAAATCAATGTTGTCCCGCATCATGTCATGGTCTGGGTTGGCCACAATGAAAGTGTGCGCTGCTGCAACTGCCTTAGACAACTGGTTGGTCTAGAAAAAAAAAAAACATGCCATCATGAAAGTTCATCTGTGTTGGTAGTAATTATACTAAAGTAAAATGTTGAACTTTATTCTAACACAAGGGTTACACAGAGATAAAATTTTCAACGACCACTGTCGCCTTCATCAGGATAATTAATGACCAATACTTCAAAGTGTAATCTCGCAAGAGTTACGTTACAAACACTTCACCTTATTCCCATGAGACTTTACGGATAGATGACGTAAGCAATGGTCCAGTCTCTGTTAAGAGATGGCTGGAGTGCCCTGATATATATGGCCACTGATGTTAGCTATGTTTGATTAGCTAGTGTTCCTGTCCTGGTCAATGTGCTACTAAAATTTGCCAACATCAACCCACTAACATTCAGATACGTTCTACACATGTATCTAGGGCTTTCTACATTTCACACGTCTAAATGAAGCACATTCAAACAAAACTCAGTTTGCTGTACCATGTTTACTCTTATTTGCATTTTTGTGAGTTAAGATTGCCCAAACATCATTTCATTTGCATTCAAAATGGTGCCTGTCAACATTGGGGTCCTACTGGGGGTCTTAAACATTCTTTTAATCTCCAAGCAGAGTCAATGGGGCAAGGAGACTTTGTGTTGGCTGCCTGTATCCATTGGTCGCCTGTATCCAATGTCCGCCCCATGAACGTTATACAGGCGGCCAATGGATACTGGTGGCCAACATCAAGTCTCCTTGCCTCACCGAATCTGCTTGGAGATTACATTCTTCCTGCTGAGAGTGCCTTCAGGCACCACAGTTGTACTGGTCATGGCCTTGGGAAGGTTAATTAAATTCCTGTAGCTTCCTAACCTAACAAAGGAGCAAGAGGAAGCTTTCCAGACAGGCTAAAGACAACAATTATAAATATAGTTATCTATTCAATACTACTGTGAGCAGTAGTTTCAGTGTAGAACGTTTAGCCTTATAGTAAGTATACTGACTGGGTGTGTGGATATGCCTTCCTTTTTTTTGTAGGAGTTTTGTGGAAAATGCAAACTGACTTTTTTGAAGCCAACTGTGGCTAATAATATATCTGCACATGTATCTTGGCCCAAGATACAAGTTAGTGCAGATAATATTATTACACGGTAGCCACAATGGGGATTCTAGAAAAAATATATTTTTTTTAGTACAAACGATAAAAGGACATTTTGTGCTTATTTTAGGAAAGCACAAATACCACTCAAAGCAAGGTTATAAAAAGGAACATTCTTGCTATAAGACATTCATGGCATTGCAGTATTTGTATAGATGAATGATTGATATGAAGAATGTTCGTAGGGCACATCTCTCAGTATGTGGGAAGTTCTGGAAACATCCAAAACTTGGCTTGATTCCTCTCTCTATATGGTTAGTTTAGTTTATCACTAACAGGGACTCTGGCAGATAGCCATTTAGAGCCTCATGCCTCCAATGAGGGCCTGCAAGGGGGGGTCCCGACAACGCTCTACGCTGAATTTGGAAACCTCTCGATTACGCTTTACGATAAATTCCAAGTGACTACAACGCATTACGTAGAATTAAAACAGCGAATACGCTCTACCAGAGCTCGAAATACCCGGTGGCGCACTGGCGCGGCGCCACCTGATTTTGCTTGGCGCCACTTATTCCTAAACTCAGGTGGCGCAGCGCGCCACCTATAATTTGCGTGGATCGAACCGCTAATCGCATGGATCGGGCCCCATTGTCGGCACAATCTTGTGAATTGTCGATGAATTGTCGATCTCGCCATGACGCCACAAAGAAAACGTTCTCATTGGTAGAAAATCAGACACCTCGCTGGCGTTTCACAACACAATTTTCATGTAAACAACTCCGACTGTCCTTGTTTACATGCAAAGCGCGCCGATACAAAATCCTGCCGGCCGCCCGACCGACCGCATGCGACGCTAAGTTTTCGGCGGCTCGGCGGAAAAATAATCCATCCCCAGAAGAAATTTTACGCATGAAAATAACAACTACAACTTGTTTTCGAGTTTCTGAGGCCGTAAAATGATTAAAACGGTTGAAATTTGTCGGAAAAAACAGCTCGAAAGACAGAATGAAAATGGCCGACGCTGCTTCCAACAATGTGGTCAAAGGTGAAGATAGCATCCAAGCGTCCAAGATACATGTACTAGTATTACACGCATGAAAAAAAAATTTTCGGCAACGACAGAAATAAAAATTCACTCGTATTTTTAAAAGGTTAATTTGTAAACATTACCGTGAAATTTTCCGAATTTATTGGTTTCTAGTGTCAGAATATAATGTTGTTTCTATGAATGTGCGGTTGGATGCTGTGGGGCTTTTACAATTGGGAGAATCAGATATTAAGAGCATGCTTTCTTTCTTTCTTACTTTTTTTATTGAGTGTCTCTAAATTTTTTTTTAGTATGAGTTTATAGACATAGTCACATTTTTATTTGTTCAGCTGTGTCAATATGTGATTTTGTTTGGGAAATATGATTGGGTTAAAAAGTTTGGTATATATTAATTATGTCCGTAACACCTTAGGAATACTTGCTCCAAGTTCCAGGCTTTTTTAATAAGTACATGTACAATTTGTATCATGTATTTTTCACTTGTTGAACTTGTGGAAGCACCGTTGGCCCCCGGTTAGGGGTCATCCGGGGAACCTATGCCCAATTTTTTTTTAAATCAAGGGAGCTAATACCATTTTTTATTAGATTTTGAAGATTTGTCCGGGGGGTATGTTTATTCCGGGGGGTATGTTTATTTGGCAGATGAGAGTAACATTATCCTTGCGCAAACGAAGAACATGGCGCACGTAACACCACCCGCATAAGTGTGCCGCCATGTAGAGGCGTGGCATTCCCACGGCGGCAGCCCTGTGATGAAGTGATGTAAAGGTGGCATTCTTTATTAAAACATTGTTGTTTGAGAGCTTTTGTGTTCTTTACATTACTTTATTTTATAACATAAAACTTAAGTAGTTAACTAGAAGAAAACGTAATAGATATAAGTAGCAGATTTGAAGAAAATGATAACTTGGAAGTGTTGCCACTTGAATACTGATGGCGCCACCTGGCTTTTGACTCAGGTGGCAACATGCGCCACCTGGCTGAAAAAAGTATTTCGAGCCCTGGCTCTACGCAAAATGTGAAGAGTGGTCCGTCTACGCTCTACGTAGAATTAAAACGGCCGATTACGCTCTACGGAAAAGGGCTTGCGGGCCCCCTCCAATGGATGGCCTTCGTGTAGAAACCTGGAAACATATCCGAGACAGTTTGCCTCAACTTTCCAGAGGTTTGGCACCTCTACATGCTGTTTAAAGATCGCACTATCTTGTGCCAAAAAACTAAATGATCACACAGAACATATGGGTCCTATATGTGATGTTTCAACTTCTTGCCAGACTGTAGGACAATGAACTATAAAAAGGGCAAAAACTGTGCAGAAAGTTGTCACAAAGAAAACGTGACCAACTAAAAGTTTAAAATTTTGGTTGAATTTACAACTGCAAAATTGGTATAACTGCAAAACAACTGAAAAATTGGTATAATTACGTACAAGTAAGTTTCAAAACATCTTGTATTATTCTCAGCAACTAATCTCCAAGCAGATCATACGGTGGCAAGGCAGTATCCATTGGCCACCAAAGCCACTTTGGTCACTAATGCAATGGACACTCCTCTGGCCAATGGATACTGTCTTGCCACCGTATGATCTGCTTGGAGATTATCAGCGACCAGTTACTAGCCAATACATGGCCTTTCTGTCTACTTGGTGCTTTCAGCTGCCAAAAGAATACAATATCCCATCGGTAACCATAACCACAGGCATTCCTGAGCTGGGGTTTCACAAAGAGGTTGGCTGTGTGCATGTGTTTATGCAGACTTGATGTAAACAGAGTGGGTATCCCTCAGAAAGTCAAATCAGTGGGGATTCAGACAATCAACAAACTAGAATGATTGATTAGCATTTTTTTCTTGAGCATAACGGCATTAAAATAGTTGTTCTGATACATGGAGAATTCTGTAGCAAATAATCATCCATATATTACCTTTTACTCTGTATTTTTTTACTCTACACGCAGTTACATTTAATGGTTTTATGAAGATACGAATTTGTAGTAGTAATGTTGGATTTTCATCTGTTTAGAGATAAAGCTTGAAAACTAGCTAATTTTGCATTTCTATCATCACCTTTTTGCTAGCAGTTATAAATCTGGCATTTAAGTGTGTGTTTTTTTTCAATCAAATACACATCAGTGTAACAAATTGAGCACATAATTGCTGACAATTAGCATGACCAATGACCAAATTTACACACAATGGGAGCAAATTATCTTCTTTCTCAAACTAAAGATTCACACTGCAATTCAATCAAAGATGCTTTTGGCGTTTTTACATGCCTTTTACAAAATATCGGTATGCAGTGAAAATGGAAAGTTTTGTTAAGGTCTCAGGTTACAAAAAGCAAAAGTTTTTGCAAATTCTCAAGTTACCAGAGGTACTAAAATTATACCGTAGGTACAAAATCTTCATAAAACGTCTCCTTATCGTTAGTTTCAAAACAACACCGTCAAAAATGACCGATGCATGAAGATTTGTACAGGTTTTCGCACCGTGTGAAACATGTGGTGAACCAAATACTAGCCAAAATCTGGGCCCGGGCGATTGGCGTCTGGGTGTCGGGTTACGCCACGTAGTACCCCCGACTCGCTATACCAGGCACCGCGGATCGCTGGAAAAATAGTACAAATTGGCCGAAATAAAGGCTAGTATACCAGGGGAGTTAGTCGGCCATGGGTCGCAAATTGGATCTTCTCTGGCCGGCTAACTCCCCTGGTATGCTATCCTTTATTTAGGCCAAATTTCTACTATTTTTCCAGCGATCCGCGGTGCCTGGCAGAGGCCTAGGGGAGGGGCCGCTAGTTCAGCTAACTTCTTTTCTTAGTTGTAGCTGGTAAAGATCTGTAAGTCTAACAAGCTAGGCAGGAACACAAGTTAGAATACTAGAAAACTGCGCCAATTATAACTTTCGGCATAAATAAATCAGGTCAAATACAACGCAAGGGAACTGGGCTAGACTTTTCGGATGCTTGGGGGAGCAAATAAATAATGATTAATTGCTGCTGTACACAGAGCACAACCTTTGCGAAGTTTTGCTCTGATTTTTTAAGCAATCAGTGCATATTATCTCGAAGAAATCTGAGTTCTTACCCTCCAATAGGCGAGTTGTAGGTAGTCGTAAGGAACTCTGGCCTCGAACTCCTTTTCGATGTCTTCGTGGACGGGGAGTTGCCAAATGTCTCCCAGCCGATCGTCCAGACAGTGCTTCAGACACTCCGCCTTCTTCACGACTTGTGCGAAGAAGTTCAGCTCAGAATGGTGCGGGTAGCGAGGGTCTAGCGTGAGGACGTCTTTGACGATCTTGGTGTGGTTCGTACACTTCATTCGACACCCCACCATCTCGGTCTTTCTCAGCTTGTAGTTCTTGATGGCTCGCTCCATGTGTAGGATCGTGTCCAGCCATTCTTGCCTGGTGTAGTGGGTTTTCCCGGCCTCGTATAGCTGGTCGTACGGCACGATGCTTGGGTCGTCGCCGAAGGAAGGGTCGACCAGAATAACGGCGAGGTAGAGCAGGAAAGTGGTCCCGAAGATGAAGAAAGCCTGCGCCATGATGTGACACGTCTTCTGCAAGCCCAGGAGCATCCCACAATGCAGCAGCACCCGACCCCTGACCTTTGTCAAGGTGTTTAAACTATCCCACCGTGCACTGCGGCTGTTATAACTGTATCCCACAATGCCTCAGGTTTTGGATTGAACAAGGAGGTTGAAATATCTTTCTACTGAGGGCTAGTATTACTGCTAGAGTAGTCATGCTAGCCTCTACCAGGCTTTAGGAGGCAGCTGGAAAGAGAAGAAATTGGTCATGCCGGAGGAGTTGATCCGCTAGAGAGTAACATTTTGCCGCACCCGAAATGTACTCTCTAACGGACCAACCCCCTCAGCATGTTTAATCTCTCCATTTGGCCGATTTCTAGTCTTTCCAGCCGCCTCCCAAAGCCTGGTAGAGGCTAACAGTAAGCTAGTAAGTTTATGCTACCGGGGTAGTCATGCTACTAAAGCCATGTTATGGTGGATGCCCATCAGATTTTCATTTATGATGCCATATCTGAAACCTAAACCATTAACATTAATGGTACATGTACTAGATTGGTAACTTGAGTTTGGTCACCAAATCTCCTTTGTGTAAGGCCACACCAATTTAATTTGTTGGTTCTCGGATTCACCTCTTCATTTTTTCCAGATTTGCAAAAAAAAAAAATTTCAGAATCAACTGCAAAATGCTCATATTTTGCCCTGAACAGTTGAAAACAGTCCTTTTCTTCCTAGTCGTTACAGTTATTCCATCTTTCAATGCAGTGGTATCATTAGAAGTTAAAAATCCATTGTTTAAATTTTGAACCAGCCTGTTGTGTTGACTTCATACCTCGTATCGTAGCATTTGGGGCTATAATAGGATCCCTAGATCTGTTTTTATTTTTATTTTTTTTCGCCGTCGCTTCATATTTTTCCTGAAAAAATCCGAGAACCAACAAATTAAATTGGTGTGGCCTAACCATATTAATGTTACAGTGTCTTAAATACCATTGGAAAACTTATTCACTTAATGTCATTTATGACAACTGTTTGATGGTAACCATCTGGTATGATTGCTTAAATATTAATATTACTTGTGGAACAAGCTGGTTGAAAGAAAATTGACCTTGATCATACATGGTATGATTGTGTATCTCTGTTTTATCATATATATGAGAAATTATTACATCGTTAATCATTTGCACCATCCATCTTTCTTTATGACTTCATCTCCCCTGGAAGACAAAATAAATCAAATGCCATTATCACTAATATAGGGCAGTAATTTAGGGCTTAACTTAAGTAAGTTGCTCACATGCAGAGTCTTGCATCCATATCAATTTGTATTCAGCAAAAGAGCTCTGCCCAACGATATAATGCCAGTGTACATGTACATGTAATGTCCTTTCTCTGATTGATACTAGCCACTGGCCTTTGGGTTGCAATGAGCAATACTAGATGATTAAATAAGGTAGTTTAGAATAAATCAAAGCACCCTTGATTGACGACTTCTTTTGCAGACTATTGATCCTTTCCCCAGTGAGAGCCCAAGTAAGTGAGTACCTCAGGCTAAAAGGAACACGATTGTAATCCTTCTGTATTAGTCTGATCTGTTGTTCTAAATCACCTCCTCATTAGCACAGTACACCTCATTAGTCGTTAATACGCCTGATAATTAAGAGCATTTTGGCACCATCTGTGGTAATGAAGAGACATCATTTAATTGGGCAGAGTGTTTGACTTTGTTTAACTAACATTTGTCCTTGCAATAAATCATACAAGGTTAGGTATTACAGCAACTGTAAATCATAAAATTTTTCAGGTTACTGAGGAAATAATGAATGTACAGTAGCCATCTATAGGAATATTGTTACTGTAGTAAATTTTGCACAACCTGTTGATATACAAAGGAGTGTGATTGATATCAAATCTAATTTCAAACAAAACAACATCTTAAATTTTATAATAAAAAACAAAATATCTATTCAGGAAATGAAGCTGAATCTGTATCATTCTATAATTTCTCAACAGAAGCAAAACTGAATGTGTAATACAGGCCTTTCCTTTTCTGACTAGCCTGGTTACCTATTAACCTACATATATTTTAGCTCCTGAGCCCTACATCCTCTCCACAAAATGATAGTATTTGCTGAGAGGATGCAGCTATTTGCAGAGAGGATGTAGCACTCGGGAGCTAATATAGGTTTGGTAACTAGGCTATTTCTGACTGAACAATGTATAATGATGAGCTCCTTTGCTTCGCTTCACTCAATTGCGTCTCCGTGCACGTGACGTTCCCTTGGGATCCAGATATAACCAAATCACCGCTGCCTCATTCATCTTCCATTTATTGATCACATGTTTTCCCAAGCACTGCATGCCTCACTTTACCCATCATCACCCACCCAGGCCAGCCATTGGTCGCTGGAAGCCAGGCTCATTTGCATATCTTGTGGTGCCGGTATCTACACAAGCAGACTGCAGCGTAGTGCCATGTGATCACACGGTGATGGGCACTGCAAATCTCCCCCTCGCGCTGCTGTACATTTGGGTTATAAATTGACCTCTTTGTCGGCGTTCACGCCAGGATTGCGATGTGACTTCTCCCGGGAGCCAGAGCCCTTGAAGGCAACCCGTTGAGGGATTTTGGTTGTTGTCACGGTTTCAGAGAAGCCCTGGCCGGCTGGGTTGTGTGTGTGTTCCTGAGCTATGAAGAGGATTATGCTAGGTCTGATGTTCTGCTCTCCAATGCACTACATGGCTTTCTCTCCACAGAATTGTGTAGGGGAGTGTCGGGGCGGGCAAACCTGGTGGGAACAGGGGAAGATGTTCACCGACCTGACGGACTCGTACTCCAGCACTCAGCCCATCCAACAGGAGATTGCCGTCATGCTCATGCATCAAAACTTCGAGTGGCAGGAGGGGGATACGGTGTTAGACGTGGGCTGCGGTACAGGCGAGATTTCCAAGTACGTTGCACAGCAGGACGGGGTGAAGTCCGTCGAGGCTTTTGATGTTTCGCCCGATATGGTACGACACGCTCGTAAAAATAGCCCCCACGAAAAGGTAGCGTACCACATCGCTGACGCGCGCGACGAGCTTGCCATGAAGCTGGTTTGGGAGGAATCGTTCACCAAGGCCGTGTGCTTCAACGTGCTCCACTGGATCGAGGAGAAGGAGAGGGTGATCAGAAACGTGTTCTCGACTCTCAAACATGGGGGTGAGTTCCTCTTCAGCGTTTCTGCGGGCGTACCTGCCATGACGGTGGCGCGAGGAATCATCGAGTACCCCAAATGGAAGGACGCGTTTGCTGGCTTCTCGTATCCAGTGTGGGAATGGCCTAAAGGGGATGCTATCGGGATGCAGAAGCTGCTGGAAGACGTCGGCTTCGAAGTCATCACTTGTGTCAATCAGGTGTTTACGGTCAAGTTTGAGTCAGACCAGGAAGAGAAAATGTTTTTGCGGCCTCTACTGAGTCATCTGGAGCATATACCTGCTCACCTTCACGACGAATTTCTCATGGATTTCATCTACGTGTTCTATACGTTTGCCCCGAAGGACGAAAACCAACGTGCTATCTGGGAATTTCCTTTCGTTGTAGCTCACGTTAGAAAATAGGAAGTTCTTTTATCTCTGATACAGTGTATCTACGTCTTCTATAATTTTGCCCTAAAGGACGAAAACCAACGTGCTATCTGGGAATTTCCTTCTGTTGTTGCCCATGTTAGAAAATAGGAAATTCGATTCTTTTATCACATTGACTGGTATAGTACAATGTACATCTATGTCTTCTGTACTTTTGCCCAAAAGGACGAAAACCAACGTGCTATCTGGGAATTTCCTTTCGTTGTAGCTCACGTTAGAAAATAGGAAATTCAAGTCTTTGATCACTAGTACAGTACATCTACGTCTTCTGTACTTTTGCCCCGAAGGATGAAAACCAACAAGCTATCTGAGAATTTCCTTTTGTTGTTTCCCATGTTAGAAAATAGGAAATTTGATTCTCTTATCACCGGTACAGTCTGTGATAAGAGCCAAACGTATGAACAAAGCGTGGAATAGATCAATGTCGTGTTTGAAGCTCAATGCATGACACTACCGACGGAAGCCTTTGCATATCTCTTCAGGCTAATTTGATGAACGTCATTAATTTTGTCTCTCTGACATTGTCTTTGTATCCTTTGTGCTAACATCTAAAAGACAATGACAAAACTGAATGTATATTCCAAATTGGTGAACGTCATTTGTCTATTTGACATTGCCTTTGTCTCCACTGTGCTTAGAAAAGCAACTAAAAGACAGATGACAAAATGAATGTATATTCCAAATTGATCATACCAGCAATGGTTTCCAGTTCTAAGGGACATTTGTTACTAGTAAGCCTTTCTCTGATTTCCTTTCATGTCTGAGGCCCGCTTAGTACATTTGTCTGTCTGACATTGCCTTTGTCTCTATTGTGCTAATATCTGAAAGACAAATAATATTTACAATGTATGCATTCCAAATTGATACCAGCAATGGTTTTCAGTTCAGTCTATGGAATCAACTTTAAGCCTTTGTCTAATTTCCCTTCATCATATTTGAGGCCCACTTTATTTCATGGGTATTAACATATGAACATCTGATTATTGTATGTTGGGGATGGACCAGGAATGATGAAGGAAAGGGAGGTTCTGACTGAGAAAATACTTAGAGAATAAAAGAATAACCTTTGTTGGAAATAGATAGCTGATGTGATTTTTTTCCTGGTGTGCAAAAAGTATTTATATGCAATACAAAATTACAACAGCATCATCTCTCCATCCCCCAAACCATTTCTGGTCTGTCCCCTCCAGCAAAGTGATTTCTGGTAATTTGAGCGATGAAGCCCGTAGGGAGATGTCAACAAATGGTCGCTTTGTTCCATGTAACATCTAATATTGATCTACAGTTGGATAGTACTTTATTCCACATAGACCTGTGCTACTCTGTTTTTAACAAGTCTCCAGGGACATGGTTAAAAGCTGTGCCTTTCCAAGTTGATTAGTTGTGTCATCTTTCACATTCTGATGTTTAAAACATACCATTTTTGTGGTGTAGGTCACACCATGGATGTCCCTGTTTGAATTGTAAATGATGATTATAAGATTAGGTACATGTTCGTAACACAATATCATGTCCTAGTTATGTCACTTATGATACAACTTGATATTCTTGTTGGGTTCACCTCTACATTATCCATTAGCCTGGGTACCATCTGAATTTTCACTCCGCAAGGCTTGAAAAAATCGTTTAGAGAAATCGTTGCAGAGCGAAAATCTGGATGGTACCCAGGCTAATGTCCAATGTGTTGAGAGGTAAAACAGAAAATTAATGCATCTATTCTTCTATGGTGCACAAGTACTTGAGTTAAAAGCCTAGCAGACATAAAGTGTTCGTTGATGCATACTAATCAGTGCCAGCCCTTAATATTGAGATAATATACTGGGGCCAGACATCATATGTCTATAGTAATAAGGTTATAGGTCATAAAACAATTATGTAATTATTCAATCCACTTATTCATGAATAATTCTATTAGGAGAAAAATTGATGCCAATCTGTCTATTTCGTAAGCCCTGTCACTATTTATTTTTTCTTTATTTCAGGCTCCAAAGGCCCATATTCTTACATAAAATTAGAAACAGAGCTAGAGGCATATATACAGAGATTAATGAGTGAAAGAACAGTGAGGTAAGGTATAGTGATTAAAAAAAAACAACAATAAATTCATTACTATGATCAGAAAATCCGAAAGACCAGGGAATATCCTCAAGTACTGGTGACTACTCACGGGTAGTACAGTGTATGTGCATCAGTGGTCAAAGTACTTTAAATTTATACTGTTGCTTCAAAACAGGAGCTTAAGTATATTGTCTGTCCTTGGGGCCAGAGAGTTCTAGTTTGCTATATTGAAAACTATTGAATTAATCTGGAGCCTATTTTTCCTTCTGCAAAATTGCAGATTGTATAAATTTTTCTTCTTCTGAAAATCTATCTGCAGATTGCAGACTGGTATTTCGAACACTGTGCATGTACGAGTCAGCTCCAATTCATACTGTCATGATAGTTTATATTACACAGCAGTGCCAGTAAGCATTAGCCTGACAGTGATGTTACAATATATTAACAAGGTCTCTAGTGACATTGTACATGCCCTGGGGCAACTCGAATGACAAAATGTACCACTGAATCATCTGATCCATTGTGCCAAGCAATATTTGCCAGGAACTGTTGTACCTGATCTATCACATGCAACTCAAATTGGAACTCCATTCCCCTATGGTTTCCTTAAATCCTTCTGGTGAGTGTGTGGCCATTACTGACAGACTATCTGGCTCCTTTTGCTGTGCCTGTCACGTTCCAGTTATTATCTTACATGGGAAAATAAGTTTAGGATTTGGCTTTTAGATCAGGTCTGCGCGGACGCCATTCGTAATCGGTTGAGCGCAGGAAGCCTTCTGGAAATTTCTTCTGTCGCTTCAAATGCCACAGTCAGGTTATTTCCTTGGAGAGTAGGCCACAACTGTCTCTGTCGAGGTACAGAAATAGACATTGAGATTTCATATTCAGGGAGGAGTTGAGGTTGAAGCAAGACCTGTTGATTGCATGAAAATTTCACATTAAGTCAAGTCACAAACTAACGTTGCGTGGCATTAATTCAATTTGCAGGAGACACTGTGCGATGTGTGCCATGCATTGCAAACCCTGTCACAAATTACACCTTTGCCAGTATTAAGAGTTTCCACCATACTGACTTATATTGCAGTATCCGTTTTGGAATATAGATGTATACAAGTTGTTGTAAAAATACCCTGCATCAAAGAATTCTGTGAAATATATCTCGCCCTTTGATAGGACGTCAAACTATATATTAGCTAGACAGGTTATACCATGGCTTATGGATATGCACACTGTAATACTCACAGTTACTTTTTGTCCTAGATTCGTGTTATTGCCACTTCTCCCTTGACACATAGGCTATGTTTTCTGTGTTATTGTGCCTTTACTTTCACTCAAACATCACACTATATATTAGATAGACAGGTTATGCCTTGGCTTACGGATACACGTATGCACACTGCATTACTCTGTTACTTTTTGTTCTACCGGTAGATTCATGTTATTGGCACTTCTCCCTTGACACATAGGCTATGTTTTCTATGTTATTGCGCCTTTATTGGCACTCAAAATGTAGGACTTCTGAGTGTTATGGAAATTGCCATGGCTGCGTGGGCAAGGGATAAAATTCTGTTCAGCAATTCGGTCACGCCAACTTTAGTACCGACACTTAAAACGGATGAAAATGGAGCACGAATGATGGCTGGAAATGCAAGAAATAACACTTGCCAGCTGGGGACTCACTCTGTATCTCGGTTCCAGTGGTAAGGCCTAGGAAAAAAAATGTTGAGTTTCCTGTTCCAGTCCTGAAAGAATTAGGGACTTGATAGGTTGGTTATTACATGTATCTTTTTTTTTTTTTTTGAAGACTTTAGTGACATTTTTATAGGGGTCCAACTTATACAATAAAGTAAAACTTGCATAAAGACACTTTTATTTTCAATGTCAATGTTAGAAAACCAATTGTTTTATCACTCAGGTGTCAGATCATGGAGGTAAAAAAGGTTGATCAGCTCAAAAATTTATGTCCCTTGCAGGGGTCCACCCCCAAAAAAAGTCTAGAGTCGGCAGGTTTTTCTAGGGTCAGTTGGGAAACAGGAAACACAGCATTATTTTTTCTAGGCCTAAGCTGTGTGAAGCTTTATCCAGTAATTTATTGCGTGCAGTGTTTGTAAAACCAACTAATCCCAGCCTAGCCCCTGACCTTAGCCCTGACATCTCGAGTTTTACGGATACTCTGGGGGTATTCCAAAATACATTTTCTTTAATCCATGGGAGAGCACCAACCTTTCCAGTACTAAGGCCAACTAGAACTGGGCTTGGTTGCTGGAAGGGTCAAACCCAGGATCATACATCATAAATATGACATGGACATTGGAATTAGTTTGAAGATGAAACTGTCAGAAGATTGAGCACTGTTGAGCGTTTGTAGGGAATTAGGTGTCAATCTTTGATGGGCTTTTGAGTCAGAGTTACAGCTGGGAATTTTGTAATTATGGAATTCTTAAAAAATTCATCAAAATGAGACTAGATGGATGCTCAGTCCGTAGAGACTATCTATAGTCACAGATACGTTGGTGAAGGTTAGACATCCAGGTAATACGCGAAAAAGCAGTTACTCAAGCAACTGGATATGATTTTGGATTTTCTAGTCACAGTTCTTAAAGTGTAATGTCTGTGGTCAGTGGTGCAGCTATTGAATATGTAGGATAGCATATTCCATTATGGTGAAGACTGGCAAACATACTTTCCTATCAATACTAGCAGAAGCCCACCATTTAGTGCGACGGCAAAAACCTATTACTTCCAAAGTCAAAGGCTAAAACCCTTCGTATAGGAGCCTCTAGCTAGATAGGCTTGCATGATGGACAAAGATATCACGAACTGAAATAGCAGTTACTTCAGCAAAAACCTATCACTTCCAGGGCCACAGGCTAAAACCCTTCGTATAGGAGCCTTCAGCTAGATAGGCTTGCTGCATGTTAGACAAAGATACCACAAACCGAAATAGCATTTACTTCAGCAAAAACCTATCACTTCCAAAGTCAAAGGCTAAAACCCTTCGTATAGGAGCATTTAGCTAGATAGGCTTGCTGCATGTTAGACAAAGATACCACAAACCGAAATAGCAGTTACTTCAGCAAAAACCTATTACTTCCAGGGCCACAGGCTACTAGCCCTTCGTAGCAGAGTCTAGCTAGATAGGCCTGCATAATGGACAGATACCACGAACTGAAATAGCAGTTACTTCAGCAAAATCCTATCAGTTCTAAAGTCGCAGGTTAATTCATCGTAGGAGCCTTCAGCTAGATAGGCTTGCTGCATGTCAGACAAAGAAACCACGAACTGGAATAGCAGTTACTTCAGCAAAAACCTATCACTTCCAAAGTTACCCTTTGTAGGAGCCTATAGCTAGATAGGCCTGCATGTTAGACAAAGATACCACGTACTGTATAAGTTACTTCACAGACGCTTATAGGATCAATAACTGTCTCGCCATTGACCCTTGGACTGAAGTTTTCCAGAACACTTCACTTGCAGATAAAACTGTCTGAAATGGGTTTGACGATCATTGAAAGGGCAAGGTCGATTCCAGCCTTTCCCTTTAAGTGGTTACAGAAATCCAGGGAGGGCTCTTATAATGCTTTCATCCACTACATGTTGATGGGGGGTTTGTTGAATGATGTTACAACTTACATGTAGATGTATGACATTGTGCAGTCATCCGTTTGCTCTTCCACTAGCTTCAAACCTGATCTTATCCATTAACGTAGGCCACACCGATTTAATTTGTTGGTTCACGGATTCGCCCGCTTCATTTTTTTCTGTTTTGGAAAAAAAAAATTCACGTTCAGAATCAACTGTAAATGCTCATATTTTGGCCTTGTCTAAATTATTCCTAACTTTGTTACAGTTTGTCCATCTATCAATGAAGCAGTTTGATTAAAAGTTCAAAATTCATTGTTTATTTTACACCAGCCTGGTATTTTGAAGTTATGGCTTAAATCTAAACTTTTGGGACTATCATAGGATACCTAGGTCTGTTTTGTTTGTTTTTTCATCCCTGTTGCTTCATATTCAATTTTTTTCTAAAAAAATCAGAGAACCAACAAATCAAATTGGTGTGGCCTTAGTATTTTAATGTTTCTAGTTCAATTAAGCACAATTATGCACCAAGGAGAAGCAGACTTCATTGCAGTTAGATGAAGGTAGCTGAAAGCTTATAGGATACACGAGAGAATACAGCGTGCGGTTAGATCAATAAAGACTACTTATTTCCCTGCACCATCCTTCCCTAATGCGTAATGGTAGGAACTTAATGGCTGAACCGATGCACTTGGGCTGCACTTTAAACAGCTTGGAAGACCATTATACTCCACCAGTGGTGGGCTACAGATTTGGCACTGCCTCTGAGGTTGAGCAATTCATGAATCAAGGTGGTTTTGACTGCAAAAGATGACTGGATTTTATTTAGTGCAGGAGACACAATTCTTTCTCTTTTTGGCAAAATTAATGATTGATATGGAAAAATCGATTTATGAATTCCAAGAAAATGTTCAGTGCTAACGTATGCAATATTTCAACCTGTTACCTGTTGCCAAGTCTACTGACAAAGGCTTTGCACTAGTCTGGGAGCAACTTTAATACATGTACATGTATACTAGGCAAAGTCATTCCTTACACATGTACATCTACATGTAGTAAAAGGGACTGTACAAGTGGTAGTATTTATGGACAATGTGCAAGCATTTCATTTATTTTGCAATCCTCCCCTTTTACATGTCAACATTCTTGCAGAAAGTATTACCTTTGCTGTCTTACTAGTTTAGCGAAATTAATTTCACACAACCTGTGCACATGGTTTGATCCAAGAGCGCAATTTCAAAATTCTCAATAATTATGCACAGATGAACTTAAAGGCTGGTGTGTTACGCCAAAGGGCAGTTATACGGGCTATATAGATACAGAAGCTAGTGTGTTACGCCAAAGGGCGGTACTGGCTATACAGATACAGAAGCTGGTGTGTTACGCCGAAGGACGGTTATACCAGCTATACCGATACAGAAGCTGGTGTGTTACACCAAAGGGTGGTTATACCGGCTATACAGAAACAGAAGCTGGTGTGTTACACCAAAGGCCAGTTATACCGGCTATACGGACACAGAAGCTGGCGTGCGACAGAAGCTAGTGTGTTATGCCGAAGGGCGGTTATACCGGCTAATAGTATACAGGTACATGATATACAGAAGGCGTGGGTTGGACTGTATTTTCCCTCTAGCAGATTGATGATACTATACAACACCTTTTACCACGCAGGTCACACCCTGTAGACCTTCCTGAATAATGATACAACACATCAGTAGGGACCTTCGCAACCATTAGGCGAAGTGGAGGGGAGAGAAAAGGTCGGAACGGTTCAGTTAATGCCACAGGTGGGGACCGAATCCCTTAACCTGCCGCGGACGCGTTCTGACGCACGGAAAGTATTTGATCGATGTGAATTGCTGCGGGGGGAAAGTAGCCGCTTCCTTTTTTGCTCATGAAAGGAAATTGCAGCTCTGCTGGGAGATGTGTTCCATCTGGAATTCTAGTAATAGGCTGGCTGTCAAGTTTGCTTGTGCTTGCTATATATAATGATACACATCTAGTAAGTTTTTGCTCTGGCTGTTCCTGGCAAACACATGTTAATACAGTACTAGCTGTCAACTTGGCATGTCCTTTCTATATACATGTATATAATGATACACATCAGATGATCTAGTAATTTTTTGCCCTACACTGCACTGGATGTTCCTGCTTAAAAAAATTGCATGCAAATTAGACCTTGCACTCTTGTATTGCTTGATCTTTGTATCAATGTTAATACAGTACTAGCTGTCAACCTGGCTTGTCCTCTCTATCTATAAAGGTACACATCTAGTAAATTTTTTACCCTACACTGCTATGGCTGTTCCTGTCTAACACATTGCATGTAAATCAGATTTTGCACTCTTGTATTGCTAGATCTTTGTATCAATGTTAATACAGTACTAGCCGTCAACCTGGCTTGATCTTTCTATCTATAAAGGAACACATCTAGTAAATTTTTGCCCTACACTGCACTGGCTGTTCCTGTTTAACACATTGCATGCAAATCAGAACTTGTGTTTTGTATTGCTAGATCTTTGTATCAATGTTAATACAGTACTACATGTAGCTGTCAACCTGGCTTGTCCTTTCCATACATAATGATACACACACATCTAGTAAATTTTTGCCCTACACTGCACTAGCTGTTCCTGTTTAACATATTGCATCCAAATCAGATCTTGCATTCTTGTATTGCTTGATCTTTGTATCGATGTTAATACAGTACTAGCTGTCAACCTGGCTTGTCCTTTCTATCTATAAAGGTACACAGTCATGTAGTAAATTTTTGCCCTACACTGCACTGGCTGTTCCTGTCTAACACATTGCATGTAAATCAGACCTTGTGTTTTTGTATTACTAGATCTTTGTATCATTGTTAATACAGTACTGTATACGAATGACAACCGCGTGCAATGTACATGCAGTTCATTTTCATTACTGCTTAAGGAATGCTACTAGTACGCTTTGAAAGCACAGCTCATTTGCTGTACTTTGATAAAAAGAAACATATTAAGTTGTCAGGCTACAAATTTATAAACATGACGTCAATCTTGTAACCATTTTATCACCAGAAGTAAAATGACTGACAGGAGCTAACGGTATTACCCCATCTATAATTCATGGACAGCTTACTGTACAAGGCAGTTATAAATTTACTGGCTTCAAGGTAATAACCCAACCCACACGCAACATAATTTCATCAAACTCCCAAGACAGGAATGACGTTTTGCCATTTGGTGACAAAAAATTACTGCTGAATAAATCTAAGTGCCTCTCTAGTTTTCATTGAGAGATTGGAGAAAAATATTTGGAGATTAATAGAAGCATTGGAGGGTGTTATAGTATATCATGAATGAGAGACCAGGTAAAAGGGTTGGCTTGGAAAAGGAAGTAAAACATTGTAATTTGTTTCTCAATTTTACATTCAATTTCATAATATAGTGTTTTTTGGACTGTCCATAATGTATAAAAGACCCAACTTGTAACTGTAAATGGCATAGAATTGGCAGGGCAATGCTTTAACAAATGGACATTATTGGTAATCTATTTGACTGTAGGCTGGTATCTACCCTGTACATACCAGCCTACAGTCAAATATCAAATAAGATCTAGACTTGTTTTTGGGTGTCAGCCAACATTTTGATTGGGTAAGTCTCAATGGAATTTGAAAGAGCATATTATGCATACTTTGGCCTGAATAGAATACAAAATTGTAAAATTATTGGTGCTGGAATTTCTTATTGAAAATATACTAATTTCTTGTCAACAAAAACTTCACTTGACTAGAGCCAGTGTGTAAAATGATGAATATCTCTGTTAACCAGACACAATGAATGTACATGTATTAGAGTGGTGACTAAGAATATATGAAGTACATGTACGTGTACAATGTATTTTGGAAAAAGTCTATTCTTAGAGAAGGTTATGTGAAGAAGTTGAATGTGTTATGTTCAGGCATTATAAACTAAATTTAAGAATATGTATAGAACACTACATATCCAAGAGTATTGGCAGATGCAAGCCATTTATTTTAGATGTTCAATGTTGACAGTTACATGTGAATGTTATGTGCCTTTATCATCCAAGAAAGTGACTACATGTATGTAGCATACAAAGTACATGAAATTGTGCAGTTACATCATAACAACATGTATATTTAAAATGTTTGGATGCATACATGCATTGTTATCATATTGGAATAAATGTACTGCATTTTATATCGTCATTGTTCATCATTTAGGAAGATATTGTTGGCACTTTGCTTCTACTTGGAGCAAGACAGCCTTTTAGTGAAAATCTGCTCTGTCCTTATATAAATTTTCAAGGTCCCATATTAAATGTGGAACAAATACAAATGGAAGAGTTTTGAGACTGACTCTATGGTCAAAGTTCAAGTGGTAAGAATTCTGTGGTCTTCACAATAAGTGATACTCACTGCTTTTGAAATCCTTGTTTTTTTTTTTATAAATATTTTCCGTTGCAAACATACCAATACATACTGTTACCATTCAGATCTTCTTTGAGAAAACTTAGTCTACCATGCTTGGAATTCCCCCTTTCTTTGAGGAATATCTGGAAACGAAGCTCCATTCAAGTTTGAGTGATACAAAATGTACAAAATGAAGTAGGAAAAACAAACTTCAAGTTATCAAGTCATATATATATTGTTTTCTTTGTCACACAGAATACTGGATATTTATTTATATTGGAGCACTCAAAGGACTTCTTTCAATACTTTTCTTACTTCTTCAATATATATGTACACAATCAGGAAGAATATGGAAACGTGTAACAAAGAAACAAACGAACGAACACATTCCTCATGTGCTTATAACTTGAACCTTTAAGCTTTCTTTTTAAGAAGCTCCCACCTCTATACAGACAGTCTTGTAGTCTTCTTATGATCTTCCCTCAGCTGCCTGCATTGGACAATAAGAAAATCAGTCAGACTCAGAAATATTAAATTTATATTGATTATATTTACGTTGGGTACTAAGTTGGAACAAGAAAGAAAGATATAGAAAGTGAGAAATGTGTACAAAAGTGTACAAAATAAGATAGTGAAATGTGCAAGATTTAGAAATCATATGCACATAATATCACATGTATCAGGAAAAACGAGAATGAGTGAGAGAAGTCAAGGAAACAAATAAGAAAAGAAAAATGCAACAGAAAATTTTGCATCTTTGCAAACTAACCGTGTCTTGTTTAATTGCTGCCATGAAGTTATCAGTACTTGTGGATCTGGAGCCTAACGGGACTGTATATGTCCTCTACACAAGAGTAGGAAAAAGTAATGAGTGGAAAGAAAGTAGAAGAGAAAGGAAAACAAATCATTCAAGGAGACCCCAATGGCAGGATAGTCAGCTATGGTTACTTTGGAGATCAAATCTAGAGGGACAGTTTGACTTCGAGAAGAAATCCATATCGAGTAGGAAATGCAGAATGCTCACAGTTAACAGGCTTATTACTGAAAAAAGGATATAAGGATCATGTGCAAGTTCTTAACCTTAAGACTTACTCCAAGGTTGATACCCATGAACAAAGTGTTACAAAAAACAAAAATTTAAGGTAGAAGTGTCGCAGACCCATTTTCAACTTCATGCACTGCAAAATTAGTTTGAAAAGTGCCCAAGAAGGCCTAAATCATACCTTAGAGCCAAAATTAACCAGTACCACATTCATAAATACATGGCAATATTTCTTTTGGTAGTATCAGGTCGGGAATAGTTCTAAAAGTCGCCCACCTCCTGAGCGCCCCAGGAGATGTAGTCAGGTCTAGTTGCAGCGTGGTACTCATCCACTAGCTGCTGGACAACCTCACGGGAGTTGTCCAGCTCATCCAGGTTGTCCTGGAACATACGGCAATGAAGGTTAGACATCCAGGTAATAAGATATGCCAAAAAACAGTTACTCAAGCAACAAACTTCAAGTCATCAAGTTCTTGCGTCAATGAAGGTTAGACATCCAGGTGATAAGATATGCCAAAAAACAGTTAGTCAAGCAACAGACTTCAAGTTATCAAGTCATTATATATTGTCTTCTTTGTCACGCAGAATACTGGATATTAATTTATATCGGAGCACTCAAAGGACTTTTAATATAGAGACAAGTAACAAATAAACAAACAAACACATTCCTTGTGTGCTTGTAACTTGAAAATTCTAGCTTTAAGAAGCTCCCACCTTGAACATGTTCTCTTTGCGGAACTGCTCCAGGAAGGCCTCACGTTTCCGCAACTTGTCGTACTGCTTCAGACATCTCTCAAACAACTAAGAAAGGCACACATTACAGACATATATTGATCAGTTTGATTCAATTTATGGAAATTGTAACAGTACAATACACGTGAGACAGAGGCAGCTGTCACTGGATTTGTGTCCCACACATAGAAACAAATACAGGATAGACGATACTCCTTTTCACTTGAATAAAGTGAGTAAAGTCGTGTAAAGTGCCTTTCCCAAGGGAACAAGATGGGTGGCATGTCAGGACTCGAACCCGGGACCTCTTGGTTCCAAGTCGAGCACTCTGCTGCTACGCCACAAGACCCCACAATGATTTATCTGTTAATTTGTTACACTGAAATCACAACAAGAAGCCATAGGCGACAATTCTCCGTGAAGTAGAGCTGTGTACCTAAACAAATTTTAGGTACAGGTACAGGTACAGGTACACAGGTTTAGGTACAGGTCCGGACCTGAACCTGTACCTGAACAATTCGACCAATTTATATGCTCTTCTGAACTCCTTCAATAACAAAAAAACATTAATAAACTTGATAGTTAAGGTTTATTCTTTGTTTATGGCGAATGCTCAGATGACATATAGGCAAAACTAAAGATGTTTTTGTTTTCATGAACACACTGTCCTTACACAGGGACCGATTTGAGGTCACAAATAGGCATAAAATTGGTGTGAAATTGTTTAGGTACGGTACCGGTACTGAGGGATTAGGTATTTTGGACCTGTACCTAATCAATTTTTCCGGTACAGTATCGGTACTGCGTACCGGTACACAGCTCTACCGTGAAGTATTATATATTGCAACAAAAAGAAGTAGCCATTGGCGACAATTCTCTGTGAAGTGTGATAAATCGAACAAAGAAAAATTGTTTAAACGCGCGTCGGCTCAGTCATCTTAAGACGCAACAACCAATCAGAGATGCGAGATGCCTACACGTGACGCAGGAAGGGCGCGCGATGCCCGAAATATTTTTGCGTCAATATTCAGCGCCGTGATTCAAGAGATTAATACCCGGAAACAATTTTTTTCTTGTTTTGAACGCATTAACATACATTTACGCTAATCTAGTATGATTCAGGGTTACTTTTTTTTTAACCTGCCATGGCCAGATTATCTAAAGATGTGTGTATATATTGTGTGTACAATCTATAGAAAGAGAAATGTACATCAGGTCCGATCATCCGATTTTCACGTTTCGGTTTTTTGGACTCGGTTCATGAACGTATTTTGGTTTGGCTCCTGGAATGTGCGAAAAAAATGACTCCCGGGACTGTCTACAGGGAACACTCGCACATTCGCGGTGTATCAGGACAGCGCGACTGGTCGTCATTAGCGCAGTAACAGTTGCATAAACGGACGAAACCATTTCAAAGAAATGGGGATGTTTCGAAAATAAGCATTTACTCCAATATCAAAACAGCTACGGTAAAAATAAAAAGACGTGCATCATCCCGGACATAATGCAACACCACATGCTAAATTACACAGAAATGCGACGTACGGGGGAATGCGTTTTGGCTGCGAACATCTTCCAAAAAACTTGGCATCTCTTAACCATGGGCAAAAACATCTGGAACCACTTATAAAAACCACCCCGTATCTGCATGAACTTTTTTGAACCCCACTGCTATTCCAAACAACGCGTTTTTCTGGACCATTCCAATTCGCCTCGTAATTGTAGGGGTGCGTCTGCGATATTACATTGACCGCGAAAGCAGCAACGGCAAAAACACACATTCGTGCATCAACACGGGCATGCCCGCAGACGGCGTATAAAATTGCGTGCCGATTACACAAAGAGAACCCAGTGTTTTGACTGCGAACATGAAAAATCAGCCGATTACAACACTCCGTCCGGAGGTCCTGACCTCCTTCACGGAGTAATAAAGTAACAACTTACTGAGGAGATGCTGGTATGGTTGGCCAGCATGAGCCCACTGACTCTGTGGGCTGACTGGACATATGGAGACTTTCTGGACAGTGCCACCTGGTGAAAACAAACGGAACTGCATTAATGTGTACCATGCATCAGATTCAGATTTCTTCAGGCTCAGCCACACTTAGGATACCATCCAGAGAGTAGCCGAGGACAGAGGGAACTGGAGAACCTTTGTTGCTGCCCTACATGCCGAGACTGGCATTAAGGGCAGTAAGTAAGTAAGTAAGTAAGATTTCTTTTTCTTCCACTTTATTATAGTATCTTAGTGTTTTGGTCATCAAGTATACAGTTGTATTTGACATCCAAAGTGTAGTTTGAAGGTTGACAAGATTCCTTCCTTGTGTTGGAACAAAGTTTGAACTCTATAACTAAGGATTTCTCCTTGTCCCACCTGTATGCTTGCTGGTCCCCAGGGGATGAACTGCGCGAGCTTCCTCTCACGGATACGCTGCAGGCTCTTGTGCACCTGTAACAGACCAGATCTGTGAGTCTGTGATTTGATTCGAATTATTGAAATTGCAACAGTGCAATACATGTGGGACACAGGCAGCTGTTGCTGGTGTTGTGTCCCACACATAGAAACGCATACAGGACAGACAATACTAATTTTCAGTTGAGTTAAGTGCGGAAAGTTGTGTAAAGTGCCTTTCCCAAGGGCACAAGATCGGTGGCATCAGGCAGGATTCAAACCCGGGACCTCTTGAGTCTGAGTCGAACACTATCGCTACGCCACATGACCCCACTCTAAAAGGTTAAAAGTTGCACACCTGTGTGGGGTCCACCTCCCCCTGGATGATGTTGAGGATGGAGATGAAGCAGTGGTTGATGTGGCGGATGCGGTCTGTCGACACCATCATGTTCTTGGGCTGCAGCAGGCGTCGCATCACGTCAAGAACCGTCGTCTTTCTCACACTCGCAGCCTGGAAGGAAAGGAGGTTGCTGAGGCCTAGCAAAAAACTGTTGTGTTTCCTGTTTCCCTTTCGACCCCAGAAAAAAACTTCAGACCCTAGCCTTTTTTTGGGTGGACCCCTGCGAGGGACATAATTTTTTCAAGCTCATCGGCCTTTTCTAGCTCCATGATCTGATACCTAAGTGATGAAATGTTATAGTACAATCGGTTTTCTAACATTGACATTGAAATACAAGTGTCATGCAAGTTTTACTTTGTTGAACTAAGGAGTATAAGTTGGATCACTAGAGATTGCCAAAGTCTAAAAAAAGAGAAAAAATGATCCCTATCTACAGACTGTAATTTTTTCAGGACTGAAACAGGAAACACAAACATTTTTTCCCTAGGCCTTACCTTCTGGTCGGTGGTGAGTGGTGTCCAATAACTGTAGGATAGTTGTTTTACAGCCATACGTTTCACCATGTACGACTGACGAGCAATAAAGTTCATTCATCCATTCATTCATATAAAGAATTTTTTGGTGCATGGTATGCCTTGCTTACCTTCTGGTCCGTAGTGAGTGGTGTGTATCCTGTCATGAGGAAGTGCAGACGTGGGGTGGGGATGAGAGAGGCGATCAGGCCGATCAGGTCGTTGTTCATGTAGCCGGGGTATCTCAGAGTGGTGGTGCTGGTGGACATGATGGTAGACACCTGTGAATGGACAAAAAGCGCATTCATTTCAGCTGTCCTCACAAAAAAAAATCTCCTCCTCAAAGGCTCTGGCCTGGGTACCATCCTCAGTAGTCCATGGTATCTAGCGACAATAGGGAGACGGCAGTAACTACGAGGGTAGCACGTAGGCTGCCGACACTCCACGGAACTCTAGAACTCAGTACAGTGCCGACTCATAAATGCTGCAAAAGGCCAGCATGTGCCGGCTTGTTGTAAAAGTCGCTATGTACTACCACAAATTCACAATAGTACCAACTTTGTATTCCTGTGGTTTAGCAGCATTTTTTTGGCTGGAATTTTTTATTTGCCAGTACGCACTAGTTTGGAGGTCTTCAGAGGATGTCATCCATAAAATCAAGTCGGTGTGGCCTTACAGTCTAATAATAATAACATAGTGAAATGAAATTTCCTTACCAAAGAGTTGATCTGAGAGAAGGAAGGGTTCTGGATGTGAAGTCTGTCCACTGCAATCCTGTTCAGGGCTGTGTTGTCCAACACCACCTGTAGGCAAGAGAAGGAGAGCTATTGAATTCTCCAAATAGAGTCATACTGTTGGTGTACATCAAATACGTACACTTTGGCAATTGTGAGTTCTGGAATTAAAACTACATGCACTATTCAAAAAGTTCTATCATATGCCAAAAAAATTTTGTTCATATAGGTGCAACATAATTTAGTCTCAATCAAATATTGTTTGCTTGAACTCTTCCTCAGTAGACTGACCCAGTGAGGCGTGTCACATGGTTTCTTTAAAGTGTGATGTCAACACTGGGTCATACGTATCTAGTAGACAATGTCGGCCCTGGTCACGGTTGACGTCACACTTCAAACACTTCAAAGAAGCCACGTGACAAGCATCACTGGGTCAGTCTACTGAAAAAGACCAGAGTGCCTGGTTGAAAGCTCTATACCTAGGTGAGAGAACTTCTTTGTGTTGGATCTAAAGTTTTAACTTTAAACATGTAACTACCAACACAGATGAACTTTCATGCTAGTAAAGAGAATGTTGTTCCTCACCACACAGTCAGCGTTTTGTGTGAGTCTCTTGAGTGTGAGGAGTGAGTTGTACGGCTGAACCACCACGTCACTGATCTCATCCTGGTTGGGGAACACCGAGTAGGTCTGGATCAGCTTCTTAGGAAATCTGAAAATAAAAATGGCAGTCTGAGAAGTTTTCCTAATCAAGTGAACAGGACTGTTGCACCCTCATACTTTAAATTTAGTTTAATGTTGATTTTTATTTGCTGCCTTAACTGTTACCAACTATCAAGGAGATTTTATAGAACCTCCTTTTACCTCTTTAAGGTATGAAAGGAGTAACTTCAATGGCTTCTGAACAGTTTTTAGTACGTTTAGTACTTATTATGTTCCGAACGGAAGAAGAAGAAACTGAGCAAAAACAATATGTTTTCATTCAGTAAACATAATTACTTACCTGTCATTGAGCTTCTCTACCATGTAAGACCCCATACCAGAGCCTGTACCTCCCGCAATGGAGTGGCAGATCACAAAGCCCTGGACAACAACAAGGAATCATTTGTAAACCTAGCCTTATTTCTGCAGGAACTTAAAACTGTAATTTCTAACACAAGGGTCAGACGAATTTTTGATTGTACCCGAAAATTTTGGGTTAGTCAAATGTGTTGGAAATCACAGTTCAAATTTCTTGCATAATGACGTCTACCAACACAGAAGATCCTTCAAGATAGCCTTATTTCTGTTCACATAATTTAAGGAAATGAAGTCCAAAATAGCAAAGACAGAGTATTGTTGTATCATGATCTCACCTCTAAACTATCACTCCCGTCAGCTTCTCTGTCGATGATGTCAAACACTTCTTCCTGCACTTTTTCACCCTGGAAAAAATGTTCAATTTCGGCATAAATGAAAGGTCTACATATTAGCAATGTTAGCAAAATCATACTATTTCAGAATGATCTGAACTCAGTTCTGCATGGCACTTGGAACATTACGTAACTCAATACCAGTTACCATCATGACAAACACCTCGTCCTGGACCCTATTTGTTTGGAGAAGAAGAAGAGGGAGAAGAGGAGAAAAAGAGCAAAAACAATATGTTTACTTTCTGCAAAGGTAAACATCCTCTTCTTCTTCTTCCCTTTTCGCGCTAACCTCACTAGTTTGAGGGCTCCAGCACGGTGAGGGTTTTGGATGGGGATGGTCGCAAATGTATAATGTAAATGTATATGTAAATGTATATATATGTTGTGGTATATATGTTGTGGTCTGCAGCTCCTCAATGGGCAGTGGCGCCACTCCCTGTCCGCCACCGAAAGCAGGGTGGGTGGTGGTGAGTACCCATACATAACTATAAGTAAAAATATTCTCTGTACCTGTGCGTACCCGCTGGCCCAGTTGTTGCCTGCGCCTCCCCCATGTGTGGACATGTAGATGTTCTCGGGATTGTAGAGGTTGGCGTAGGGGGAGTTCAGGATGGTGTTGATGACTCGAGGCTCCAGATCCAACAGGACGGACCGGGGGATGTAGTGTTCATCATCAGCCTGGGGAAATAGGACACAATAGGGAATAAATCAGACAACTAGAAAGGTACAACATTTGCAAATCAAATGCATAATGTTTAGCTTCGCATGTGGTCTGCTGTGTTAATTCTTACTCAAGCACACTCACACTCTCACTCACTGTCCGGTTTATCGTCTGTTGTTCCCCGTCTTCCGAGGGTTAGCACATTCATATATATGGTCAGACAGGAGTCTAAATCCCTCCTGCTATAAAATTGCAACATGATGTAACCCAACACCAGTTACCATGGTGACAGACGTCTGGTTCAGGTCAGATATTTTTTTTTGATAAGTTGCAATCACTCACGGTTCTAGTGGATATGTTCAGTTGAGCATGCCATTGCGATTGTATTGTTGTGTCCAAATCTTTGCTATACACAATATTACTATCACGTCAGACATATCATATATAATATACAAATGTTGTCATACCTGGTAGAAGAATACATCTTTTCTGTCTGTTCCTTCAGTTGCGTAATCTTCCAGAATTCCCTCTGGTTGACAAGAAAACATTTTATGTGAAACTTTGCAAGTGTTTGCTTGCAGTGGATGGCTTATTAAGTTATTATATTAAAACCAAACAGGATAAACCATGAATATTTATTTTTCATCTGAAGACAAACTTACCTGGACTAATTCCGTGTTCCATACACAGCTGCTTCCAGAACTCCATACCAACTACATGGGAAGAAAAAGAACACATGATAATTTTGCTAGTTATCTTAATTAATTCACCATATTTAGAAATCATAACAAACCACACTGCCCCTCCCCATCCCAACATAACATCATGTGTAAAACACATCGTCGAAATGTGGGTATTTTGCTCACATAGAGAACTTACTTTGGTTCCCACATTGTCCCAACTGTAACGTTATGATTTCCCGCGGCATTGTCACTGTTTACAGGCTTTCAGAAGACCAAAAAGTTGAACCAAAAGGACAGGAAAAATCCAAGTCCGTTCTAGAAAAATGGCGGCAAAATTTTTGACTGCAAAGCTGTCACGTGACCTGTGAGATCATCGGTCAGAAGTTTAAGTTTCATCGTTTTTTCCTCCATAACTTCTAATTTAAAGTAATATAATGGCATAAAAGGCTCATATATTTCTCATAAGTTCATAATTTTATTCAAGAAAAGAAAAAATATTTGTTTATGAGGTGAAAGTTCATCCGGATGCATGCTGGGTGGGGTTTCGGCTTTTTTGGATTACGTCACAACAAAACAAAAACAGAGTTGCAGAAGGCAGGACAGGAAAGATGGCGAACTCGGACTCAGAACCATCCGATCAGCGCCCTCAACAGGGCGACACAGACGATCCAGAGTACGCAGAGGCCATCGCAAGGAAGGAAAGGATTCTTACGAAGATCCTGAACCCTTTCGAGACGGGATTTCTGTATTTTCAGCGCGTTTTGGTGTGGGAGAAACCGACCCATTCGGCCGTCCTGATGTTTCTGGTGAATGGCGCGTTTTGGTGAGTTATATAAATTTTGCTTTTGTTTATCGCAAAATACTCGCATTTCTCAAAGTTGTCATCCGTTAAAATTTGATCTTGACGTTCCCACAAATATAGTGTTTTTATTTATGATGTTGTATCTTTTCTAGGCTCGCTACTTCCACGAATTACCGGTTCTTCTTCCTGCTTGCGATGTGTGCAATGGTGGCGGTGTGTGCCGAGATCTGGAGGAACCGAATCTGGCCCACTATACGCGGTGAGGGAATCTCGCACATTGATTTTACACACACCAGACATCAAACCGTCCTTCCCTTCAGGAATTTTAAGAATCCTTGTGTGTCTGACGCCCCGGGCTTTCCATGGACATATACGCAGAGAACCCAGTACCATTTCCTCAGCTGTTGACCTACAAAAAATGACAGTGAAACATTTCTTTGTTTCATGTCCTTCCGACATTCGATCCTGCCCAAATCACACTGAATCGTTAATTATATTTTGACACTATCATACACATATAGTCACGGGGTACTGTGTACCAGGTGTATGTATTTTGATACCACTATATTCCAGTGGAAAAATACACAGTATTCTATGTCGTGTTGTTTACAGCTATGGTTTCTAAGTTGTTTACATTCGTTTTGAGTTACACATATCACACTTCAAATGTGATGATTCATTGAATTGCTGTAAATGAAAGTTAAGTATATGATGTTGCAATGGTTGAAATTGTACAGATGCATCTAGATGTTATGCCACCCATTGATGCCAATTGATTGGTATATTGTGTTTTATCAACACATGCCCTCATCCCAAATAAGGATTGCTGTCCACTATGCTATGACCTAATTAATTGTCTCTGTCCCCTGCAGTGGAAAAACCAGAGGAAGACCAAGACAGGTAAATATTCATATGCCATATTTTTGTTATTACCAACAAAATGTTTTGCTATTGTATGGGCTTTCAGTTTCAGGCATGTCACAGAGCATTTATGCAATGAATTGTGAAAGAAACTTGACAACAAGGTTTACATCTCTATTGTCCCCAGATTATGTTACGATTTTTAAGAGTTCTTTTCTTTTTAGTAGTGTTTGCACGTTGGATCTTGCTTGTGTTGGATTACATAAGTTTCAAGGCCGCTAAGTACATTTGCAACACCGTATGTATGTGTATTGCTGACGTGTGTTTTGAAGTGTGGCAACGCGTGACAAAGTATGACATCATCACTCCCCAACTGTGTTTACTTGTCACTTGTCAAACGTTGACCTGACGGGGTGCACAGGACATTACTGATTGCATTCTGCCATTATAGTCATTCCTATGTATAAAGAAAGTCTTAAAATAAAAGTTAGAATTTCAATTAAAGATCTGTCCCACTGCTTTCACTAGTATTAAATGCTTGATGTGTAGATATAAGGTTGTTGCCCTGCTGTACCTCAGTGGCTGTACCTTAATTTCTTAACTCAACCATGAAGCATGACTAATTGAATCGCACTACAGTAGAGAGCGTTTGTTTAATGCTCTCACTTCAAGGATGTTGACAATAAACCAACAATATATTATATATACACTTACACAGAGCTGAAGTGCTCTAGAAGATTTTGACAATTTAATTTTTCTTGTCACTTCGAATGGTAGTTAATATGGAGACTTTGGAGAGTAATAGATTATATTAACGATGTGAGTTTTCACATCTGGGATGTGTTATTCTCAGCAATATTATTATTCTAGAAGAAATAATTTTGAATTAATTTTTGCTTGTCATTTTGGATCGTAGTGACAATAGAGAGAGTAACAAAACATATTTTCGATGTGAATTTTCACATCTGGGATGTGTTATTCTCAGCAATATTGTTACTCTTTGCTATGGATAACCGCTGACGTGGCCACATGGCATTCAGCCAGGTTGTGTTGTTGGACTTGATGTTGGGAGTCAAAGTCAGTCTCATGTCATATGAGGACATCCTCCAATGGCTGGGCTGTACGTAAATTTTGGCTGACAGCTTTGCCAAATCAACTAAGCTACTGGCTGAAATTTAAGGGCCCATCTTGTACAAAGTAACCCTTTTGATGTAAATCTTAACATGAACATAACTGCACGTAAAAGATGTACAGTTAGATATTAAGTAAGATTTTGAAGATGGAAATGCCTCCATATGTAAACTATTATGTGAACCTACAGACTTTATGTGTTAAATGTCTAAACTTACTTGAACAACCATTAAGACTAAATTTTAGCTACAACTTTGTTGGAAATGTAAAAATTAACTGTGTAATGACTCAAACCCAGGTCAGAAACTCAAAAAATGGTGTAAGACAGGTCAGGTTAGGTAATTTACAGTCATTATCTTTTCATACTTAACTTGTTAACTGTTGAAGCCTTGTGTCCGTCCTTGACACTTGGGTCATTGATGACATCAGTCAGAGACGTGTGATGGTCACACTTGTTGGTCTTCAATAACAAACAACAGATAGCAGCCCAGTATATATTTACACCCACATCACTTGGCGTTTGGCAAAACAGTTGCCATCTCACACACAACTAGCTGCAGAGTGTTCCTGTCCAATACTGTGATACTGTAATAAGCTAAAGGTATGTGTCACATCAGAAATGATATAATGATTACAAAATAGTTCTTATCTCAAGAAATGATATAATGATTACAAAATAGTTCTTATCTCAAGAAGTACCTGAAAGTTTAAGTTCTTGTTAACCTTCCCCTTGCTGATGTTTGCTAGAAATTTGGTAAAAATGTTGAGGCATACTTGTCTCATTCAAACCTTATGTTTACCAGGTACTTGTCTCATTTCTAGGACATACTGTCAGTCATCAACTTTATTTAGTTAGCTCAGAATATAACATTTGTCCTTGAGTCACTTGAGTGATCTTTTTAGATTTTGGTTCCCCCATTGATGTGTGGCGTTGTGTGGCCGAATACTATGTCAGGTATGGAGGCCTCCAGGGTTTGTTGTACTGTCGGCATCCTGGTCATGTCAGGGGGAAGTATCACGTTGTCAGCTTATGTTGATTCTGTTCTAAAAGTTGCAGCGCTCAGCTTGCAAAGGTGACATAGATAGAAGACAGTTCTACTGTAGATCACTTTATGTTCGGGGTAAGAAAAGTTTGCAGTCTGTGAAAAATGGACATGTTCGTGGACCTTAATACATTCACAGTGGCAGCAGGTGCAGCAAAAAAGAAAGAGGGTGATTTATTTGTTCACAGCAATGATAAGTTCCCAGCACCACAAAAGTGACCGCGAAAACCGTTAATATGAAAGTACCATGAAGAAATTGTGATGTACAGTATTTCAGTATTCTACAGCTTAACCAAAGTGCATGTACCTCGACTATACCGCTAAGATCTTGATCTTGAAAAGAGCCTCAGTCCATTAAGATAAGACCTTCTGCTGCTCCAAATGTATGTATCTTGCGATGGGGCTTATGACTAAGTGCTATGGGTCCAAATGACAAACATGTATGCTTGGCCCCAGTGTTGTATCATGTATATGCCTTACATCCTTGAATTTTTTTTAACTAAGATAATATTAACTTGCCCCTTGGACAAGTTGGTTCTAGTGATATATTTTTATGATGTTTTTGTTATGGGGTCAAAAACAAGGCCAAGGATAGCACATTTCAGTCACGGTTACAGTGACTGTCATAAAAACATTAGCTGTGTCCAAGATCTATTTCAAGGGACTGTCACGTACATAAATATGTTATGCAGTCATTATGTAACAGGACTATTTGATGCTTTCATACTGTACTGTATGTTAAACTGAATTTTATATACCTGCCCCGGTAATAATTAAATTGCTTCATGTAATTAGTATGTACTAGGTATTTTAGTCACAGGGCACAATCTACCAAAAAGCCCAACATGGTGACATGTGACTCGGCTTTAGGTTTAGCTAACAAGGTGGTCTTAGTCTCCTGGGTATGTATATATAGAAAGCCTGCCAAAAAATCAATGGATTTCATTGATTTGCAGGTGTGCTAAATAGCGACCTGGCTTGGGGTAAATTGTAAAGTATAGAGGAGAAATTCTCAGGTGCCTACAGCAATTAAGATGCAGGTCCTTCAGTAGTACAATTGGTCTGAAACTTAATGTAAAAATTTGTTTGTAGCTGTCAGATTTAGATCGATATTTAAGGTGTTCCAATTCAACTGGGTAGAGAAGACAGTGTGTGCTACCCTGTATTTTTAGGCAATATTTCCTCAGGTCAGTTAGGCTTGTAATTTACACTTAATTGGGTACCATTTTATGATTTTCATGCTGCAGTAGAATATCTCATGACTGTAGATTAGTTGACATAATAAATCAATACTCAGTTTTTATCTTGCCTTTTTCATGTGGTCTTATCTCCAAATATTGGAATCAGTTTCTGGTCAGAACTGAAGTATGAAATTACGTGATGATGTTTTTTTTTTGTTTGACTTAACTAAGTTGGGCTGTGGTTAATGCCTCATACAATCAAATATTGATGGGTACTAGTATATTAATGCCCATGATGTAACAGTTCTAATTGTCTGTGCCTCCCAGCTGGGCTGTTGTCCACCCCCGTCTCCTGAGCGCTCCAGAACTGGCTCACCACATCGCCGAGGGCTGGGTCACCTTCTCCTGGTCCTGTAATAACCATGATATACTCGGGTAACTGTTTGTGTCTGTTTGTCCCTCCCAGCTGGGCTGTTGTGCACCCCCGTCTCCTGAGCGCTCCAGAACTGGCACACCACATCGCCGAGGGCTGGGTCGCCTTCAAAACTAGTGCTGTACTGTACCAAAACTAGTATATTAATGGCCATGATGTAACAGTTATTGTCTATCCATCCCAGCTGGGCTGTTGTCCACCCCCGTCTCCTGAGCGCTCCAGAACTGGCTCACCACATCGCCGAGGGCTGGGTCGCCTTCGCATGGTCCTGCAGGAAACTCTGGGAGATGAAGAAGAACTCGCCTGGAAAGGTAACTATGGAAACTACGTAGTACTGTGTACCGGTTCGCTAAGACTAGTTCCGGACTTGTAAAAAATGGTTAAAGGTTTAAACCATGGAAACTCAGACATGATGCAAGGGCGGAAGTGTCAATGATTTTAATCTCGTGATAAAGGTCAAATAAAGTGATGTCACTGGCAGACATTAAAAATTGTATATAAAATGTCTGATGTGTGTAACTCTGCCAGAGAGATCACATTTCGTTTTATCAAGAGATTCAATCCCTGTATCTGCTTGGAGATTATGGATAAAGTCTTCAAGCAGAGTGACAGCTGGGCCAAGTTGATGGTTCATTACCCCATGTAAGCAATTTGACAGTTACGTCAAGAGGGCAAATACAAATACATGTACAGTCATGTCACTTGGATGAATTCTGCTAATGATGTGTTGTACCTGCCAGTTCACTGCGCTGGTGTGTGTGTCGTGTGGTGCCATGGCACTGGTGGGAATATACATCCCCGGAGTCATGATAGCCTACATCATTGGTGAGTCTTACATGTGCCATTTGTATATTTAATGAGCATGACGGTTGACCATCTGTCTACACTGAACTTGGGCCTTTTGTTCTACAACAGAAAATTCTCTCTATCAGTGTCATCACCACAAACTTATTTGGTGTAGAATATTATATTTGTCCAAGAATTGCATGTACAATGTACAATCATGGTTATACATTGATTTGATGTTTGTTATATTTTAAGTTATATGCAATTCTTATCACAAGTACATGTATCTACACGTAGTTATGAGTAACATACACAGGAAAGTGTTAAACCCCTGTCTGTCTGAAAAGTTTGCTGCTACATTGTATATGGTGTTTGAGGTTTATTGATGAAAACCTCTCCTTTAGCTGCCCACCTGAGGATGACAGCTATTCTTCCAGGAGAGACTGGTCGGAATACATCAACATACAATTATATATAAAGTTACATTACATAGTTATTTTGTTATTAGGGGTTATAATGTTATTATATAATAACTACTATGTCCATGTGTATAGTGATGAGTCTGCTGCTGTGGCCCTGTGTGGAGTACCACCGAGTTATCCAGCGGATCTACAACCGCTTCGAACCCCTGATGATGCAGCTGGACTATAGCATGAAGACACGACGGGGGCGCTCGGGGCGCAAGAAGAGTGAGTACAACAGGCTCAGGTGTCAATACTATTAGGTAGTTAGTATGTGGATGGTTGCTCAATAGAAACAGTCCACCATAGGAAATCAGGTCATTGTGTTATTCTAATTGTCTGAAGTCCAAAGAACATGACATTTGAGTCTCATGTGTGTAAGAATATGACTATATTAAAAGTGTGAAGAAATAAGTCTAATTATCACAATGTGATTCTAAGTAGAGTTTTATAAGTATATATAACTTTTAGCAAGTGTCCCCGATAATTTTGTTGATGTAACATCTAACTGATTGCTTCTATGTTATATCACAACTCAATTCAGCTAAATCGACATAGCTGCTTCTTCATGACAACTTGAAACTGTTACACTTGAAAGTGTATTTCAAAGGTTGTGTGTAAATAAACCATTCTGTCTCTCTCTCTCTCTCTCTTGAATTCGTGGAGTAGAAGTCATGTTTTTCTGATATCGTACACATTGTCCCCACTAGGAAAGAGAATGCACACCGGGAGGGTGTCTCTCGTCGTGGGACAGTCGGCCAGTCACGCCACGGCTACTGCAGAGACAGACGACAGCGAAACGGACACAGAACTTGGACAGTTCATTCCCAGAGACCCGGAGACGACGGCGGCCCTGGCGCGGGCACTCACGGACTCCGAGATGTCTGAGGATGAAGCTTCCTCGCTGGCTCAGTTCTCACGGGCGGGGACACCCAGTATAGCTGAAGGTGAGCACTGGAATCAAGATCAAATATGGTGACAGGAGTCTAAATCCCTCTTGCTATAAAATTGCAACATGATGTAACCCAACACTAGTTGCCATGGTGACAGACATCTGGTTCTGGTCATTGACCTTATTTGTTTGGAGAAGAAGAAGAGGAAACAGAGCAAAAACAATATGTTTTCCTTCTGTAAACATAAATATTGAACCATAATGTGTTTACAACTTTTCTGTCGTGATCATTATAGTGCAGAGTTCTAAATCATTTGGTTTTTGCTATATACATCAATTACAGAACTGATGCTCATTAATCATTGAAGAGTCTCAAAGTTTCTAATTTGTAACTATGAAGTTTAATTGGAACTTACATTGATTTCTTTCCTCAACAGACAACCACACAGACAACGAGGGGATGTTTATGGAGGGTCTGTCCGAGTTCCCGTCGTTTAACGACCCTTCAGTCCTGGCGGAGGAGGATGAGAACCTGGGGATTCCGCCGGGCATGCAGGACATCAGCCAGGAGGAACACCAGAGGGAAGCTGCGGAGAACATGATATTCGACCCCACCCACTTCAACGGCGAGGAGGATGAGCCAGCGCGGCCGACTGCCAGGCAAAGATACCGTCAGGGGCAGCAGCAGGCGACGCAAGCGGACGTGATCGAGATGGCACGGACCCAGATCGTCAGGGAAGCGGCCACGACCGTGGTGCAACAGACGCTGACCGCACTGGGAAACATGGCGACAAACTGGTTGGCTTCGGCCGCCGGGAGCGCGGATCAACCGACGGGAAGCCGCCGCAGCGTGGTCGACGCGAGCGAACAGGACGTTAACACACAGCAGGAACCCAGGGTCAGGGAGCTGAGTCCTCATGTCAGAGGCAACAAGAGAGAGACAGAGTTTTCTGATTCGGAAATAGAGGACGATTTTGAGTTTCTGGACCAAGCGGACTTTGAGAGCTTTGAAGAACAGGCAGGGAATTCACCAGAAGGGCCCAGAAGTGGAAGTAGTGGTGGGAACAGGGCTTGACAGAACAAACAATAGTTAAACGTGCTCTTTAAGGTTAACCTTCTCCATACTGACAGGTGCTGTGTCCAGTGCAAATACAGGGGATAGGCTACCTCACAGCAGGGAGAAGGTTAATAAATATAAATCAAATTTATTGATCAATTACCATTTATAGGAACAGTCATCAAATCGTAAGCAACATTTGTGTGCTCTTTGTCAGTTAAGACGTAAAAAATAGATTTAAGGGTGGTTACTTCTGTTGATAGTGCTGGAGAATGTTTCCATGGGTGTTATGTTACATCTTTTTTTTTTTTAAATCTTGTTGATGGTTGTTTGGAAAACTATGATATCAAGTACAGTAACTGGTTTATTTTGAAAAGATGTATACCTCACACATTTAGTTTGCATCAAAACCAAGAAAGTCCAGAACTAAATTCAATTGAATCTTATTAACTACACTTGTATTTATGTATTCAATGACTATACAGACGTTATTTAAAATTACCAAGACATAGAATGACAAATTTTCTGAATGTTATGTTAAGCTAACAGTTACCTGTGTGTACCAAAGGCATAAATGTTGTATTTTGTACAGTGTATAGAAAAAAATGGATATGAAAGTCAGTGTTGTTGAGAAAAGGCCAGTGGACTGTCAGATGAAATGTAAATGTGTGCTTGCTGGTTGGTGTTTGAAAAGTGAGCTGGTTGTCAGCTCTGCTATGATTGTGAAAGACATTTGAAAGAAGTGTTGTCTTCTGAAAAGTGCTTTATCAATCCTTGAAATATATAACTTACTACCGGTAAACAAAGCATTTTTGAAGACAGGCTCTCATAAAATGTAAGACATTGCAATGATTGTAGAAAGCAAAAGAAATTTGAAACTACAGTAACCTATCACCCTGAATCAAAGAAAAATGAGTTGCACAGTGAAAAAAAGACTACTAAACCTGTTACAGATTAACTGTAGAAATATTTACCAGCTAAAATGTTATCAAAAAGTTCACAGATCTCTTACTAACTTTGTTATTGTTTGGGCACAGTGTATGCATCAGATTTTATAGCTACAAAAAAGTTGTTTGGCAGGTCTATCAAAAGAATCAATAGGATGTGCAGCATTTTTAACCGTTCCCTACTAAGTAAGAGAACTCAACAATGTTGTTTCCATACCTGTACTAAAAACTAGAGGTTAGGGCACATTGCCTTGCTTCAAGGAAGCAACAATGTTACAGTTTCATTTAACTGTTTTGCAATTACCTCCAGGAAGGATATTGACATTGTCTCATTCTTGAATAGTTGACATTACTTTAAAAGCCAGTCAATACTATATGTGTTTAAAATCTTCTCCATTTTGATTCTGTGTAAAGCAATTTTGTATTGTATGTTTGCTTGAAGAGAGTACTCATCGATGTTTGAAAATAGCAACATTCCTGGAACTGTTAATACAACTTGCTGTCCTCAATTTGTATTTTTTTTTGGAGTGTGGTTCACAGAAATGATATGCATTTAAGCTGACAAATTCTCGTCTTCCTATTAAAGAACCCCTTTCCCAGGCTAATGCCCATTTGTTGGGGTGTACAGAATTTTATGCTGGAAGAAGTTACCCTAAAGATCAGGGTTTGTTCTCTGTGCTACCCAGTAAATCCCAGCATTTTCTAGGAGTGGGAAGTTTGCCTTGGTGAAAAACATTGCTGCTGTGCCTAAATTGTTTACTGTGTTGTTAAATAACTGTCTTAACTTATTTCGTGCTGTTTTATTTTGATGGTTTGAAGTTGAGTTGTTGGGTGTAATGTATGTCATTTTGTGAATTTGTGAATTTATGGTATCTACCTGAAATTTCCACTGAAATTAAGTTATTAGCATGACCTAAAAGCTTGTTAATCAGGGATTGTAGATATGATGCTAATATGAACAAACATTTCTCATACATGATGTTAAACATTATGAATACAATGTTATGTACATATAGTCAAGGATGATGAAAAAGATGGTATGTCTTTGTCAAAGATCAAATTTGAACAATTGTACCACAGCTTGAAACTGGTTGTTTAGATATAAACTTCTTTCTAGTAGAATAAAATGAACCCAAAATGCTCTTCCCTAAACCACTCATTTTCTTAAAAAAAAAATGTGCAACTGTTTTGGGATCACTCCTGAATTGATTATTTTTAATCACGAAATACATGTAGCTTCAAGTGTTTTATTTGTGTGTGGCACAGGGATGGTAGAAGTTTCTTTCTTCACTGTATAATGTTTATATCTGTAATGTTATGTACACTGTATGTAGGTACACAAGATTATTTATGAATGTTAATACTTTTCAACTACTAAAAGATGCATTATATGACTTTAATGGATTTACTGACTGAAGAATAAATGTTTACCTGTGTATCCTTGAATTGAATAGATGTATTTTCTTTTCGGTAATTGATTTAAGCCACTAGTGTCATGAGTTTTCTTTCCTTGCTTACATTTCGGTGTCTGTTGGACACCTTCCTCTGAGCTTCTGACTGGAGTTCTGCTTCTAGCTGCTATATGTAGCTGGCGCTTTTGTGGCCGAAACGTAACCATGGTAAGACAAGTTTGGTTCAACCATTAAATTATTGTGTTAAAAAAACTCCTATATCCTATACTCTAGCAACCTGATGAAACTATCATCAGGGGTGAACAAGACTGAGTGAACACAAAGTCTTGTGCAGTTTTTAGTACACTCTTCGTCAGACAAGTTTGGTTCAACCATTGTGTAAAAGAGAACTCCTATATCCTATACTCTACCAACCTGATGAAACTATTTTCAGGAATGAGTGAACACAAAATCATGTGAAGTTTTCAGTACACATTTTATTCAGAGTTACCACGGCCAGATTCCAGAACGTTCCAACAGGTGCAGGTAATCCTGATGTTGTAAGGATGGCTGCTTGTTGGGAGGTTTGATCGACCAGACGTCCTTCTGTACAAATCTAACAGCTTACTGCTCCTTCATTTCACGCAGACGCCTCACCGCAGACCGGACTGTGGCTGCTGCTGTCGTGCTGTTGGGTGAGATACAAGAAAATCACTCATCTCTCCTTTGTACTCACATTTTTTAAGCACGTCAGCAGAACGCACTGCGCCTGTGTGAAACCCCAATTTTTTTATGGTTTTCGTTGGATGTTTGGTCAAAGCTGCATCATAATGTTGGCTGTTGCAGAACATATCTTTTCCAACATAACAATTGGAAACTACAGACGGAGTGTTAACCTTAAATACGCGAATACAACCTTATTGGTTATACGAGACGTTCTGCCAAAGTGCTATGAACAATACATTACGGTTTCATGCAGGTGCAGTACGTTCTGCTGACTATACATTGTACAGATACAGATCTCTTATTAGTACTCATGTTTTTAACTTGACGGTTGAAGCATGAAGCAAAATCAAAACTTCCTCCAGCAAGAGAAGTCGCATTACCTGTACACCCAGGCTCCGCCTGCAATGGTCTTCCTACAGCTCTTACAGGACCAGATTCCAACAGATTTTCTCTTCATGTTTTCCTGATTCAGAAACAAAGAAAAAGCCTCATATATTATGCTAATAATACCTCCATACACTTTCATAATTTAATGTCTGTAAAATACATGTATAACTAGAAAGGCCAATATTTGCTTTGGAGCAAATACAGCGATGGGTTCACCACATTTTACGACATGGCAGGGAAAGAATGAGAAACACAAGGGAAAACAATGATTTACATTGATATAACTATAATATGAAGTAACATACAACTAAAACAACAGTTGGATAGCTATTCCCTACTTTATTGGTTAGGATTTTTAATTGCATAATGCAAACTGTTGATTTTCAAAAAAAAAAAACGTTCATGCCCCACATTCCAATGCTGGAGCAGAAAAGCTTGAAATACCTACCAAAACACTTGAATAAAGACATACTGTCAGTATGGAAATGCTCTGTGCAGGTGTTAATCAAGTTAAATCCCAACAGCCAATCAGCAAGAAATGCTCTGTGCAGGTGGAAATGCTCTGTGCAGGTGTTAATCAAGTTAAATCCCAACAGCCAATCAGCAAGAAGTATAGAGGAAAGCTGCATGCCTATTGGTTGATGCCCTGCATTCCATTGTGATGACTCATGCCCAAACGTGGTAAACACGGCACACTAACACAGTAATACATTTGCTATAACACAGCCAAAAAACTCAAATAAAACCATTCTAAAAGCCTGTATCACAAAAATTTAAAAAACGCCTAGGGGTATTTGCCCACTGTACCTCCATACCAAATTTCAGGACCTTAGGCCATAAAATGAAGAAGCTGAATCCATTTAAAAAATGGCAGGAGGAGAAGGAGGAGAAGAAGAAACATCAGAAAAAGCAATATGGGTTCACCACCACTTCGTGGAGTGGTGAACCCATAACTATTACTTGTACCAAAACCACCAACACCTATACAGCACATGTTCAAGCTAGCACATGTACACGTAACATAAATATGTTACTAGTTGTAGTAGTAGTAGTGTTACATGTGCATGTAGCTTAGAATACAGACTACAAATAGTCAAATCGACTCAGACAAGATTTTCTTGCAACGGCGGTTAGAAAGGCGCCCATAGATACCTTGCCACAGAAGGTGCATGTGTACTTGGAGTGCTGAGACACCTCCATCTTCTTGATGGTCTTACGCAGAGAGGCGCCATAACGGGTGCCGTACTTCCCGACGATTCCCACCTTCCTCGTACGCTTGGCCTGGACAAAAAGAAAAAAAAGTCATCACAACTTAACTGTGAATAATTTTCATACTTGACGTTCATTTTTGGTATCATGCATAGATTTATTTCATTCCAAAATATGGAGTGGGAGGGGGGTCAACATAATTTTTTTTGCCGTTATATTTTTTGTCAAGCAGAAGTTTACGCTGCATCTAAAAGACATAAAATGTGTGCCTTTATCCTAGGTGCTATTTTGAGTCAGTATTCTACATAAGAACTGTATCATACGATTATATTATTATCTTCCAAAAAAAATGAGATACAGGTCCCAACATAGACAGGCTGTCCAACCTAAATATCCCTGTACTTATTTACAATATCTAGGCTGTTCTATTCGTCTTACACCGACAAAATCTATTCCTAACAATGAACAATGTTTTCAAGAAACACTACAGCTAGTAACCATGCAATTTCTTGCCCAAAAAGAGGAAGATTACGACGGATATCTTGTGAGTTTCTCAACTGTTCGAAATTTGTACCCACCATCTTGGTGTTGGCGATCAAAAGGGAGGAAGGGGGCATGCGCAAGAATGGCATAGCCCACGGAAAATTTAGGAGCATTTTACGTAATATAAACAACATTTCCAGGAGTTAATATATCAAAACTTGATAAGATAATATATCAAAAGTATTTTTATGAGGAAAAATGTTAATTTTTGACGGTTTATCTAGTTTTTATTGAAAGTTGAAAATTACGGTCAAATTTCTTCTCCCCCATTTATCACGTAATGGTTCTACCCGACCGAATGGAACCATGGGTAAAAGGGGCAAAGTTGCGCAAATGACTGCAAGAAGGAGGTGTGGGCTAAAATAAGAAGTTTTAAGCTGATTTACTCAAAAACTTGAGGAAAACGGTAAGTAGTAGACATCGTTTTACATTCCCAAGAGTCTGTAGATACCATAGGGTGAACAGGATTTCTTCTTAATTTTTACAGAGAGGGCTGGCAAGGGAAAAGGGAGCAACAACGTTAGATGGGTTTATGTAAATTTATTATGCACACGTGTGGGGAACTGAGAGTTAAAACTTTAGGGGCATTGTGTAACATTTTTGCAGCAAAAACTGAAATATTTTAATTTAAAAAAATATGTTGGACGTTATTGAAAATGACGGACAAAATTTCAATCATTTATATTTTCAGGTTTGGTGCAAAATCTTACTGTTACATAATAAGTTATAATATTAATAGTTCAGTTTAGTTGCAATGGATATGCGATGCTAAACTTAATAATAATATGATAAAGTCTAACGTTATAACTTATATTTCTTGTCCTTCCAGGTGAAAGCATGTCTTCGTTCACGTGTATATCGTGCCGCGTGGCATTTGCGTCAGCAGACCTCCAGCGCGCCCACTACAAGTCGGACTGGCACAGGTACAACCTGAAGAGGAAGGTGGCGGAACTCCCACCAGTCACGGCCGAAAACTTCCAGCAGAGGGTCATGGCACAGAAAGCACAGGTGAAGTACTTTAGTAACAGGCCAACATTTGTAGGTAAATGTAGAGAAATATCTAGTGTTCCATGAATAGTTTCATCAGGTTGGTAAGTTACTGAGTAAAGAGGGAGTCTATATTGGCTGCCTGTATCCATTAGCCTCCTGTAATATTTGGCCAATGGTGACAGGAAGCCAATGGTTACAGGCGGCCCCTTGTCCCATATAGGATCTGCTTGGAGGTTACCTGCACACTTCTAATAGGAATACTGGTACATTTTGTATATGTGGCCAATAAGATTTAAAAAATACTAATATATGTATGTTGTTTAACATGTTGCTGATTTATATACATTATTCTGCGTTTCTGTAACAGGTAGAGGAGTCAGAGAGGGAGACCTGTTCTCAGTGTGGCATCTGTAAGAAGTTCTTCAACACCCAGAATGCCTTTGAAAACCACATGAAGTCCAAAAAGCACAAGGAAGCTGAGGCTAAACAGGTGCAGAAGGTGAGAAAATGTGATACATTGTAAGGTCTTGGAAATGGTGATTCACTACAAATCTCCCAGATGGAGGCCTGGCAAACCCCATCTTGTATTAGCCACAAAAAAAAGTAAAAAAGGCAGCAGAATTTTCAACTGGTATAAGGTGGCTGCCTTAAGTTGAAAGAAGAAGAAGAAGGCCTAGGGAAAAAGAAAGTTGTGTTTTCGGTTGGGTCCAGTTGGTTGCGGCCCCCCCAAAACCCCAAGCAGCAACAGGTTGTTAACACCGACTATAGTAAACGCACCATTAATTTTCCTAGGCCTATACTAGTAATGTTTTCATGTGACATGATACTAGTAGTAGCCATGCACAGTTGGCAACTGCCTGTCTGTACGGTGACTTGGTGGTTCGTTTTTGTGCAAGATTAACTCCTCTGCTGCAACCCACAATCGGCCACTTCTGCTGACTGTGTTACTATTAATGAGGAACACTGTATCATTAATTTCTGTATTCCTTGCTTTTGCATATTCGAAGCTGGTTGTTGAGAATTACTCGCTTCACACTACACTAACAGTGTATCTGTGAGCAAGCAACCAGTTAACAAATCAGTGTTTTCTAATTACATATTTCAGTCAAATTGTTTTGGTGTAGTCTTGTACTCAAGAGAATTTTTATATACCAAAAAATCAGTTACTCAGTAACTAATTTTTTCAATTACTCAGAAACTGATTTTTTGGCGTATCTTATTAGCTGGATGTCTAAGCTTCATCTACATATCAAGAGAATTAATTGTCCATACTGTGTGTCATGATCAGGTCCAATCAGAAGTGGAGAAACAAAACCAGAAGAACAAAGAGAAGGGTCTGGACGTAGCCCATGAGCGAGCTCAGAAGGACACCGTAAACCAGGCGCTGGCCGAGGCCAGGAAGTCTCCGGGTCCGGTCAAGAGGAGGGTGACCCACGGCCTTGACCCTGCCAAGGTAGAGGCCATTAGGCAGCTCAGGGGCAGAGGTCACAGGTCATCATCAAGGTCAAAACCTGAGGATGAAGATGAAGGTAAGTCTGAAGGCTTATATCGGTCATATGCTCAACGGTCAACCTGTAGTACATAGGGGAAGTTTGATTATTTTGAGTAATATACAGTCTAAGACGACCACTTGAGACTGAGGAAAAGTGACCAGTCTTCTGGAAAAAGGTCCTAGAAAAAGCGGCCATCATAGCCAGAATGTCTGGCTTATAGAGGTAGTCACTTGTGCAAGGTTGACTGTACAATAAATTGAAAAAATGTGACAGGAGTACAAACTACTGATTGTATTTATTGTTTTTTATTAGGATTTACATTCACTGTAAACGAGTGTAAAGTCACCATTGATGTTGACATGTAGAAAATGTGATGCTAACTTACTAACATATCTACTCATTTTCATTTACTAGTAATGTCCACTATACGTTTTGTATTTGTTAACACAATTCATTCTTTCCTAGAACTATCGCAGAGTGGAACTCACTGTCACCAAGTACAGTAGGGGCATTGTCAATAGATAGCTTTAAACAATGTCTAGAGCTAGAAGTTCAAGGGTTAGGTGTAACAAGTCGATCGGTGTAATATAGCCAGCTGCCGCCGCGCTGCGTGCCTGCGAAGCTGGTGTGTTACGCCGAAAGGCGGTTATACCGGCTATACAGATACAGATACAGATACAGAACACAACCTGTATTCATGCTTTTGTTTCATGAACAAAACATCCTTATAAGCACAGTACATGCCTTTTGTCCAATGCTCACAAGTCTATGTGAATAAAATTAAAAAAATAACATGTAGTGATGGTAAACATGTCATCATTGCTAATCAGGAGAATGGGAAGATGAAGAGGAGGAGGAGGTTATAGGAGGAGATGAGGAGGAGATGGAGCTAGAAGATTCCTCTGAAGATGAAGTGGACTACCCTGGCACACCACTGACAGAGAGACAGTGTCTGTTCTGTTCCCGGGAGGGAGGGGACTTGGATGACAACATGCAGCACATGACAGTGGAGCACAGCTTCTACATACCTGATGTGGAGTACTTAGTGGATCTGGAGGGGCTCATCAAGTATCTGGGTACGGTGGTGTTATCCTTGTTATAATTATCTTCAGTTAAAGTCAAACAAGAAACATGCTTTACTGTATTTTAGTTAGGTCTTGCATGCCCCTTAGTTCAGAAACACCAATACAAATTGTACAGTTGGGTCGTGTGGCTTAATGGCAGAGTGCTCGACTCGGAACCAAGAGGTCCCCGGTTCGAGTCCTGACATGCCACGGCACCGATCTTGTGCCCTTGGAAAAGGCACTTTACACGACTTTCCTCACTTCGCTCAGGTGAAAATGAGTATGCCAGATCTAGAATGACCATTATCATGATCGTGGCCATTAAGGCATTAAAAGAAAAACAATAATGTAGGCATGTATATGAATAAAGTGTTTCTTTTTTTTTTGTCAGGAGAGAAAGTGGGAGGTGCGTTTTTCTGCCTGTACTGTAATGAGAAGGGCAGAACCTTCTACAGTCTGGAGGCTGCTCAGGGACACATGAGGGACAAGGGACACACCAAGATGCTGATGGAAGGAGATGCTATGCTGGAGTACGCTGACTTCTACGACTTCAGGTAAGAGATCAGACTGGGAAAAAAGTTATTATGTTTACCTTTGCAGAAGGAAAACATTTGTTTTTGCTCTGTTTCTTCTTCCTCCTCTTCTTCTCCAAACAAATAAGGTCAATGACCTGAACCAGATGTCTGTCACCATGGTAACTAGTGTTGGGTTACATCATGTTAGTTACAATTTTATAGCAGGAGGGATTTAGACTCCTGTCACCATATATATACATGTATATGAATGTGTTTGAGTAAGAATTAACAGAGCAGACCATATGCAAAGGTAAACATTACGCATTTGCTAATGCAAATGTTACCTGTCTAGTATTGGCTTGTATTTTGTTTGGTGAGAGCATATATAAAGTGAATGTTACTCATGCACAGTTGGCAACTGCCTGTCTGTACGGTGACTTGGTGGTTCGTTTTTGTGCAAGATTAACTCCTCTGCTGCAACCCACAATCGGCTACTTCTGCTGACTGTGTTACTGATAATGAGGAACACCATCAGTTGTTTCTAGATGACAATATCAGATAGATTTCCCCTTTCTTAGAAGTAGAGCAGTCCAACCCAGTAACCTCACTCTGGTTCTAGTCCTGGAGCCAACACAATAAAGTATGAAGCTCCTCAAAAGTCCAGTGTGCGACCAGTTCATTACAATATAACAGCAAGACTCTACAACAGATACCAAAATGTTTAAACTTGGAAAGTCATTGACGTAAATTGTTGTTCTTGTACCTCCAGGAAGAGTTACCCAGACTACCAGTCTGAGGGAGCAGCAGGGGGACAGGAGGAGGAGGAGGAACCAGTAGAGAAGGAGGAACTCAGAATCACAGATGACGACACACAGCTGGTACTACCCTCAGGTCAGAACACTTACTGTACAGTATGCTGGTTTGTTACACTGAGGGACGGTTATACCGGCTATACAGATACAGATGCCACTATCAAAGCTCATCTTTATTGGTAAAATCTGCAGTGAAATTTGAGAATTCTGATCAACAGCAAATATACAACATGAAGACCACCTCAAATTTTCCAGGTTGCCGCCTTCATCAACTTTCTTCAGGAGAGATATCAAATGTCACTACACTTACCAATAGCTTAACATTTGAAAGTAGTTATTCATTGCAAGATTCTTCTCCCTTATTTTATACAAGTTTAATGCCTACTATTGTTGTTGATCTAATGTACTAGTACCTTACCAGATCTGTTCTGGGTGTATGATGACCATGATGATTTTTGTTGAGAAAATAGTATTTAGCACTGAATACTTGAACAGTCTTAAAGCTTCTACAGTTTACAGAACTTTAGTCATGCATACCGGTTTAATCCTTCCTTGCACTATAGTGCTGAGTAGGCTTTGTTTCTTTTCCATAGGATCTAGAGTTGGTCACCGAGCCCTGCAGAGATACTGGAGACAGAACCTGGTCCCTTCCATGAGTCATCGAACCTCAGGCAGGGAGGCAGTGGGCAGGCTCATGGCACAGTACAAGGCACTGGGCTGGAAGGGAGACTGTGGTAGGCTATCACTGCAGACATGTAACTTCTCACTACTATGTGTATAAAGGCATCCAATGCAGTTTTTTTGGCTTGGAAACCCCAATTTTTTAAAGTCAATATTCTAGTCACCTATCTACATATCTGAGTTCAAACCACACTATCCCAATGTATAGTTATCCTCATGGACCAAAAGTACCCACAATTCTGACAGAAAATGGTTATTGGAAGGGTCCTGGGCTGATTTTTAGGGTACCACCCGTAAATAAAAGACTCCTCTCGGCTTGTTTCTGCAGTTTTACTAGTTATCACTACTTCTTGATTTATAGTTTTGAATGCAAGCACAGTTGGCAACTGCCTGTCTGTACGGTGACTCGGTGGTTCGTTTTTGTGCAAGATTAACTCCTCTGCTGCAACCCACAATCGGCCACTTCTGCTGACTGTGTTACTATTAATGAGGAACACACCAAAGCATAGTCGTGCCTTCGAGTACTAGTTATGAACCAAAAATTGAGGCGTTCAAAAACTCATTCTTTCCTAGAACTATCGCAGAGTGGAACTCTCTGTCACCAAGTTAAGTAGGGGCATTATCATTAGATAGCTGTAAACAATGTTTAGAGTTAGATGTTCAAGGGTTAGGTGTAGCCAGCTGCCTGTGAAGCTGGTGTGTTATGCCGAGGGGCAGTTATACCGATAGATAGTAATCAACACTTTCTACTATTTTACCAGGAGAAGCAGCCCAGAAGAAGGTACGTGACATGCAGTTTGTGCAGAAACTAAAGGCCAAACGACGAGTGCAGATGGGCGTCAGAAACAACAAGTTCCAGCCACACTTCAGACCACAAGTTGTGTTCTGAGCTAACTACATGCTACTGGACAGATATCTTCTCTATATAACACATTGTGTTATGTTGGGGGTGTTATATGTAATCCCTTCAACAAGTTGAATTTACATGTGTAATTAGGCCAGCAACTGCCTATGTCTTTCTATGTGTACATTGTGGAGAGTTAAATGGAAGGAACGAAAGTATTCAACATCTAAAATAAATGTTATTTACTTTTAAGTAAAATATAAAAATATAATTTGTACACTGCCATGGAAAGGTATAAAAAGTAAAACATTTTGCTTCGTTGTAAGAAGTTTCTCTCACATATTGGAATTTCAAAAATTTAGATTTTGAAGACAGAAATGTGTTGAAATGTGCACATAGTTCTGCCAATGGTGAATTTTCCAGATATGTACATATCAGGTTCATTCAACCAAAGTGAATCTGCATTATAAATGATGCATTATAACATGAACTGTATCCAGGCTATGAAAAGATCATTGTTGTCAGGTGATTGTAACTTACTTTAAATAACAGCATGTTATATACAACTGTTACGGACAAAAAGTAGCAAAACCCAGAGAAACATGCTTGACACATTCTGTATATCTTTATTTCAATGTACATTCAAAGCACTGAAAAAACAACTTTATGTATCATATAAGATGACTAATAAAATTTGAATATTGGCATTGCGGAATAAAGACTTGGATTTGGCATTCTTTTAATTTTTATATAACACATGCTTCTTTTACATAAAAAAGGTTTTGGAGTTACAGTGTATGTTTAGTTATGTCTCTATTGGCTAGAAACATCCTAAATGAGGCCATCATCTTCTGATCTATGCCATTCTTTGCCTTTTACTCTCTGGCTCCAGCAAGTCGACTTGGTCAAAATCGTCCTCCCCCAAATCATCCAGCCACAGAGGGTCATCCAAGTAAACATCCATGTCATCATCAGGACCAAAGGCATCGCTTTCACCACAGTCATGATGGCCCATTACTTTCCCATCATCCTCTGCGGTACCTTGTTCCTTGGCGTCAGGTTGCTGGACAACAAACTTGTCCATTGTTGCCTGCTCAGGTCCTTTATATGTGTATCTTGCAGACTCCTTAGTAGTTGCTCCTTTGTCACTTTGTTTAGCAGTCACTCTAGCGGAACTGTCCTTGGAATGACCTTCCTGTATCCCGTAGTCCTCCATGGCTTCCAGAAGTGCCATGTCATCCTCAGGGTCATCACAAGAGAAGGACTGTTCCAGGTAGGAGAGGATGGACTCCTGTTTGGGGTCCCTGAAGCTGGTTGTGTCGGCTGTGGAGAAGTCGTCTTTGGTCAGGCCTGCCTTACTCAGGACATCCAGTTTGCCCTGCACTAAAGGCCTGGAGTAAAATACAGAATATATCTGGTCACATACTATCATGAAAGTTCATCTGTGTTGGTAGTTAGTAATGTTAAAGTCAAAACTTTAGATCCAACACTAAGAAGTTCTCTCACCTAGAGTTTTAGATCAGTCAGTCTGGTCTTCCCCAGTAGACTGACCCAGTGAAGCTTGTCCCCTGGCTTCTTGTGACGTCAACACTGGTTTGTGTTGGATCTAAAGTTTTAATTTTAAAAACTGTAGACTGTCGCATCATAGGGTTGAGAAACTTACCTACTTCAGTCCCATTTCACAAGTCATTTGCCTAGCAACTGGTGAGAATGAATTTATTTAGCAACAAATCATTGAATAAACTAGTCTTACTTAATACCATATAGAAATAATGATTCACCCTGTGCTCAACTGTGCTGAGTAAAAAAAATGCCCCCTTCCCCAACCAAGACTGACTCAGAAGAACTACTGTGCTTTTGTTTGGCACACACAAACTTGTATTTTCTATAATTGATATCTGAATACAAGCACAGGTAATAAGGCCTTACCATATGTAGTCATCTGCTGTGCCCCTTGCAACAAGGTAGTGAACATTGACACAGTCCTGCTGACCAATCCTGTGAGCTCTGTCTTCTGCCTGCACCAAAACCTGGTGTCAGAAGAACAAGCACGAGCACAGATTAACTTCAACTATGCAAAAGCAATGCAATGCAATTTGCAAAGGGACAAAAAAGCACTTAATTACATAATTAAGGCAAGGGAAGAAACCAAAAAGCCTTGGTAGAATTTTTCTCTGCTATCACTGATATAGATGTTGATAACATGGGTAGAAGAAGATATAGAAAGGGCAGCCCTTAGATGGCTTGAGAAAGTTGAAAGAATGGAAGCAAAAAGGATTGCAAAGATAGCTCTCAAATACAAATCAATCCATGGGCAAGCACCCTTAAGGTAGACCAGGGAAAAGGTGGAAAGATCACATGCAAGAAATATTGACCACGTACAAGTACTAGTACTAGTAGCTAAAGCCGACTGCTGCCCATCTGAGTCAGGGACATCAGCAGCAGAATAGTCAAAACCTGGATAGTGAATGAGTGTGACAGACTAGACAGACTTTAGGAGGAGGAGGTCTTTCAAGACTGAGAGGAATGGAGAAGGTGATTAACTGACAGGCCCTAAGGCCTACCTTTGTCAGGGGAAATATAAGATGTCTAACTTATTTTTATTCCAACACCAGACATATTTTAATCACCAGACGTGGTGACGGCACACTCAAGTTTTATCAACTTATATTAATGCCGCCACCAACACGGGACAAATACATGACAGGACAATACCAGTGTTCGAAATACTTTTTTTCAGGTACGTGCAAAATTGCACATTGGCAAAATTTTTAGGTGCAATTTGAAAAATTTATGTGCAAAATTATATTTAGCCTTGCATCTTTAGGTTTGCAACTGTTTTACTGTGTATTAACCTTCTTAGCCTGCCACTGCATATAGAAGTTTTAGTATACATTAAAAAGAAGGGACCAAACAAAACATGAACAATGCTAGTTTCATCTGTGTTTATAAAAAAAAAAAGAACACACAAAAAAAATTTGTCGGCATTAGCTTCAAAGGACGCCGCTAGTGACTTCCGGCCCTCTCACTCGTCATACCGGGGTATCATGTCACGAACACTACAGTTGGAACTTCCACATCTTATACGGCACATAAAGAAAATTTACCAACAGTATGCGAGCAATAAATTTCATTTATTTTGCATATTTGTTTACCTTGAATATCGTGCATGATATAAGGAACAAGTGCTTTTAAAAAAAGCTGTCGTTTGCCGCCATTGTATTTTTGCACATCGCATGCCACAAATGTGTTTCTTCTTTGAATTAAGTGATGATAAGACCATTGAATGAAATCTAGCTATGCTATACTATATACATATGTACATTGGGATTGTCACTATTGGCATTTATATAGTTTAGGAAAAGATAACCAGAATTGATGCTCATTAGAAGCTAATGCAGTTACCATCTTTAAGTGAGGAAATTAAATTTTTAACTACATCTAATCTGAAATACAAAAAAAATTCTTGTGATGTAAGGAGCAATTTATTTCAATTGTGCTGTTTTTTATATTGGTAGCTTGTCAATGGCCTTGCTAAATAAGTTATTTCACATAGCAGGAATGTTAATCCCCAAGAATGAGGGATGAAAGTGCAGTAAACGAGAACTTGTTTCTGGTGAAGGCTGTGTTTGACCATTGACCTAGAAGGGACTTGACTCTATTTATATTTAACCAGTCTCAGCCTGACAACTATGATAAGTTAGTAGTTGCAGGATTAAATGGAAAGAAATCAACAGTGCAAAGAAGTGTGTGATAGTGTAGTTTTATTTTGATAGATTTTGGTAATCTGCTATTTTTATGACCTGTTGGTCAGTTCAAATATATACAGTAAGCAATGCATACGGGAGTGGAGTCCAAGTACCATGGTCAGTTGAGTTGTTGGTGCATGCACGAGTGGAGTCCATGTTGAAGTTAAGGTAATACTACTGTTGGAACTACACGCATGTGTTACCATGTAGGTTAGGTATTTCAGTCAGCTGAGTGGGTACTGCATGCACGACTGGAGTCCAGGTACTGCGGTCAGCTGAGTGGGTACTGCATGCATGACTGGAGTCCAGGTACTGCGGTCAGCTGAGTGGGTACTGCATGCACGACTGGAGTCCAGGTACTGCGGTCAGCTGAGTGGGTACTGCATGCATGACTGGAGTCCAGGTACTGCGGTCAGCTGAGTGGGTACTGCATGCATGACTGGAGTCCAGGTACTGTGGTCAGCTGAGTGGGTACTGCATGCATGACTGGAGTCCAAGTACTGCGGTCAGCTGAGTGGGTACTGCATGCATGGTTGGAGTGCAGGAACTGCGGCAAGATTGATTAATTAATGTCTCAAAAATAGATTGTTCTGTGTTTTGTAGTTGAGTTAGTTTCCCTTTAAGTTTTTTATAACTTCAAAGATATGTGAAAAATGTTCTTTGTACGTACAGGCTGTTTGTCGCAATGTAATGTAATTGAGAGGAGCACATTTTTGTGTCAACGACAATTAGTAAGGATAGTTTGTTTATGTTTTCAGAGATGAGAGTTGCAGACAATGCAATGATGTTTGAAGTGTAATCCTGTCAATTTTTTTTGTCAAAGTTGATGCAATGTTAAACTTTTGTAAATTCTATATATGCATATTGAACTTGACTTTCTGTGTATATTTGTTTAGTAAAGTAGGAAATGTTTGTGTCATGTGACCATATGTATCGTCATGTATTGTCTGATTGTTGACATCTTGGTGTAACACTTTGTGCCAGTCTTGTCATCTCTGTTAAGACTGATGAAAATGCTCTTATCTTCTTTGGTTCAAACTCCAGTATGGCCAAACCTTCAAGAGAGGTAACTCTGCTGAGAGCAACATATGTCTGTCCAGGGCTGAATACTGATGGTCCAATGTCAAGTACAACTTTCGACAATGAGAGGCCTTGCACTTTGTGAACTGTTGATGCATATGAAAGTTGAAGTGGGAACTGTGTGCGGGTGAAAACAGTGCTGTAGCGTGCAAAGAATCTTGCTGTGATTGGTGAGATAAGAATAGCATTGTTCTTGGTAGGGTCTTGTATCATTTGACCAACCCTGGGATTATCAAATTTTACATACACTCCTGTGATAGTTGGTACATCTGAGTTGCATTGTTGGTCATTTGCAGAGTCTTGAAATAGGAAGTCTTCTACTGTACCCTGTGCTCCATTTACAAGGCCATCCTCACTTAGAATGTTTCTTAGTAACATGACTCGACAACCTTGAGCAAGGCGTAGTTGTTTCTGAAGTCCTGCTGTTTCACTAGCGTTATCTGATACAAGATCTTCTATAGGTATGTCCTTTATATTGACAGGACCATCAATCATTTCATCTTTTGCTGTCAGTACTTGTATCTGAGTAGTTGTTTGAGGATGCAGTCTTTCCAGTTCTTGTTTGTTATGGTCTATAGCTTTTTGTCTTGTTGGGAAAACATGAAGAGCCGTGGAAAAGTCAGAGTGTTCAATATCTTCTCTTGTCTTGATACAAGTTGAAAGGAGAGCAATATCTGCATTGGTTGGTAGTCCAAGACGTACTCTGTTAAGCAGTTCTGTGAACTCTTTGTCACCTTCTTGTCTGTGATTGACAGTTAGAAATAATGGCATGAATAGTGATCTCCAGAGGTGAATGAAAGGTTCTTGCTGGTTTGGTGAGTCTTCGAATACAAATCTTCCGAAGACAGGTTTCAGTTGGTAGAAATCACCAAAAGCTATGATATTGAGGTTCCCAAAGTAGCTGTGTTGGTCAGCAGTAGTGTCTTTGATGTCCGATAGGCGACGGTGAATGTGTTCCAGTCTGATATTGCTGATCATGCTTATTTCATCAATCACAAGTGTATGCACATTGCTGAATTTGCATCGAAGCTGTGACAGTTTCTCAGCACTGAGTGGTAGGTACTGGTTCTGGGTTTTACCCCTTCGGCCATGGTCAACAGGTAGTGATAGAGCTGAATGTACTGTGGAGCCACCTATGTTGTAGGCAGCAACACCTGTAGGTGCAGTGAGTATGACAGGAGATGTTGGGCAGTTAGATGTACGGATCAAGTACTCATTCAGGACTTTAATTAGAAAGCTTTTCCCACAGCCTGCTCCTCCTGTCACAAAGAGTCGCAAAGGCTGTGGTTTGGCAGAAGCTTGGTCTGCTTGGTGTCTGTTCATCAGCAAAATGTGTTGTTTCACTGTGTTAAACACCTGCTGTTGGTCATGTGACATATTACTGAGTGCGTGATAGAATGCATCGTCAGTCATTGTGTAGCGAGATAGAGTATTCCATGTGAGTGAATCATCATGTAACATTGTGAGGTTTTCTGCAGATATTGTGTCATTACTGTTAGTTTGAGCAGCAGCAGCTGCTGCTTGTTCTGCATTCTGTGCTGTCCACTGTGCATCCAGATGGAGTCCTTCAGTGTCAAAGTCATGCTCGGTTTGCAACTGTTGGTGAGTGACATTGGGGGCAAGTGTGGCAGCAATAGATGTTAGATCATCAGACAGCAGCCGTACCTGCATTATAGCCTGTTCTATTTCTGATGTGAAATGAAGATGCTGTGCAAGAGTGTTATCAAACTGATCCTTCTTAGCAGAGAAAGCATCTTGAGCGCTATTGTGTTCACCAATGATGTCATTTTCATTTCTCCATGGGTAGTACAGGTACAAGAGACCATAGAAGTAGTCATCTCCATTTCCAGAACTTAGCTTTGTACTTCTGACAGAGGCAAGCTTTCGACGCTTCCTTATCCATTTGTCACATTGTTGTAACTTGATAGCTTCAGAAGCACTTGATGGCTCAGTGGATGTGATAGAGTATGTTGCAGCAAAGGTGAATAAGGACATTGTATCCCAGGGATCACCATGTGGTCTCATTGCATAATATTGAGCTGTGCCCTTTGTGAAAATGTCAGATGATGAATCATCAAGCTTGTCAAGGTCATCTTTCGGTTTGAGCAGACGCATTCTTTTGTCTGGTGGTTTGGTGTTTATTGACACTGTTTGTCTTGATGATTGTACAAGTTCCAGGTTTGCAAGTCTGTATCCGACTT